GCAACAAGCTGCCTGACTGCTCAGCGTGTGGAAAAGGGAAGACAAGACGAATTGTTCGACGTGCCCCACGCGAGTCTATAGCGTGGGCAAAACCAGGATCAAGAGTGGCGTTCGACTTTCACTCGATTAGCCCTCAAGGATACGGAGGCTATATGTCTACGGTAATACTCTCTGACCGACTAACAGGATACTCGTGGGACTACTACCTTAAGGACCGTACAACAGAGACGCTCCTCGAGGTATTCGATCTCTTCATGGCCATGATGAAGACGCAATATAATATACAGGTCAAAGTCTTCGAATGTGACCGCGAGGTTGCAACGATTCATCAGCAAGTCGCCACTCACCTTCAATCTCAAGGGGTGGTCCTCGAACCCTCTGCGCCCAATACGCAGGCCCAGAACGGAGGCGCCGAGCGAATCGCAGCAGTTATCAAGGAGAAGGCTAGGACCCTTCGCGAGGCAGGCAAGTTCCCTGAGATGCTGTGGCCCGAAATCGTTGCCGCCGCGACGTATTTATACAACAGGACGCCGTCAGCGGCGCGCGGCTGGAAAACGCCCTTCGAACGGTTCCATAATCAGTTTCGCGGCCCAGATCTCGGGAAGCCTCATCAAGCCCACCTTCGAGCGTACGGCTGCAAAGTGTATGCGCTCACAACAGACGCACAGCTGGGCAGGAATAAGTCGAGAAAGCTTCAACCGAGAGGATGGATAGGCTACCTCATTGGGTACAGTACTAGCAACTCCTACCGCGTGTGGAATCCGCTTACTGCCCGCGTTATCACAACGCGAGACGTTGTGTTCAGGGAAACCGAGTTCTTTAATGGAGATATCAACGAGCTGCGGGATGACCTCAAAGACCTCGACGTGAACGAGCTCAACGCTCTTCTCGCGCGACTAGAGGTCTCGCCCACAGGGATAACATCTCCAGAGTACGCACACACCGCAGACGAAGAAGTCGATGAAGTCCAGTACATTGAAGACGAAGAGGCACAAGAATACACCGCACCGCCGTCGCCTAAGTACGTGGAGTCACGATTCGAACTCAATACACCACCGCGGACGCCACCCACCTCGTTCTTCGCAGGCCTTGAGGAGGCACTCGGAGTGAAGGGGTGGAGGAAGAGACGTGCTTCGATCGCTCCTGAGGCGGTTCATGCACGCGAATCGATCCACGAAGAGTTTCCAATTACCACTCCGCGTACCTCCTGGCAAGCCGCTTTCCTCGGCGGCACCAGAACGGGTAGAAAACGAGTAAAGATGAAGCAAAAGGCGAAGAACGCCGATACAAGCCTGGAAGCGGTAGTATGTTAGAACAACAGACTCGAAGGTCTCACCGTAGCCGGACGTGGTAATGGTATGAACCCTGCCCCTGGGCCCAGGAGGAGTCTTAGAAACCCTGGGTGTGAGCGTGCCTTCGACCTCCGTCAGGGAAGAAACCACGTTGATTCGAGGGTAAAGGAAGACCTTCCCTCTGGGCTAAGCTCCCACAACGGTAGGCCCGTGTCAGGTGACGGGGGGCCCGCGGTTGAGACCGTGGCCTCTAGCGTTCCGGGAGAGGACCGTCCTCTGCCCCAGCGAAAAAGCCAAGCAGGCGTACTACCCCCAGTGCCTCAGAAACATGCCGATCTATACGGCCACCCCTACGAGAGGGGATTCCGAGAAGCGGAAGAGAAGCACCTCGCGAGCCACGATGAGATGGATACATACGTCGTCGTGGACCGTAGAGAAGCCGCCGGGCACCAGATTCTGGGTTGCCGGTGGGTATACGTCTATAAAACGGACGAGAAGGGAGCACTCCAGAAACTCAAGGCAAGGATCGTTGTTCGAGGAGATCAACAGGCTAAAAACGCTTTCAAGGATACATACGCTGCGACCCTCGCTGGACAATCGTTCCGAACCCTTATTGCCACCGCGGCCCAGCAAGATCTTACCTTACTGCAGTACGACGCAGTTAATGCCTTTGTCCACGCTCCGATCGACGAGACAGTATATATGGAGTTTCCACCGGGCCATGAGCAGCAGGGGAAGGTCCTGCGGCTGAAGAAGGCTCTATACGGCCTTCGCAGGTCCCCTCTACTGTGGCAACGGCATCTAGAGAACGGTCTGAAAGCAATGGGGATGGAACGCGTCGCAGGCGAGAATTGCTGCTGGCGGAAGGGACGCGTGCTCTTCTTCTTCTATGTCGACGACTGTGTTCTCGCGTTTCCCCCTGAGTGTAGAAACGCTGCTGAGCGCCTCATTAACGGGCTCAAAGAGAAGTACCACCTGGAAGGCGGAGACCCTCTTCACTGGTTTCTAGGAATCGAGGTCACGCGCGACCGAGCCAAGAAGAAAATCTGGCTATCTCAGGCAGCATACGCACAGAAGATCGCACGGTTGATTGGTCAAGGCACACATAAAGGATCACAGAGGAAGAACACTCGATTTACGACACCTATGACGAACGAGGAGCTACTGCCCGCCGAGGAGCACGCCTCAAAGAGCGAAATAACGGCATACCAACGAAAGATTGGATCGATCCTATACTTGGCGGTGATGACGCGCCCCGATATCGCCTTTGCTGCAAGCCGTCTGGCGAGGTTTAACCAGAATCCCTCTCAGAAGCATCATCGCGCTGCAGATCGAGTATTGCAGTACATCTTGGACACCTGCTTCCTTAGTCTCGAGTACGATGGCAACAACAAGAGTTTCGAAGTCGCATCAGACGCCAGCTTCGCAGATAACTCGCTAGATCGAAAGAGCTCTCAGGCGTACGCACTACGGCTTGCTGGAGGATTGATCGGATGGAGAGCGAACAAACAAGACACAGTCACAACATCAACGACAGAAGCAGAGCTTCTCGCCCTCTCACAAGCAGCACGCGAAGCTATATTCGTTAGCCGTCTGTTGAGTGCTCTTAATACGACGATTCCAAGCGGCGGAATAACGATCCAGTGCGACAACCTCCAGACGATTCGAATAGTAACTGAGGAACTCGTGACTCTAAAGACGAGGCTTCGTCACGTTGATATACACAACCACTGGTTGAGACAGGAGGTTGAGAACGGCACCATCAACGTCGTCCACACACCAACGAAAGACCTTGTTGCGGACGGACTCACGAAGAGCCTCGCAAGGCAACCGTTTGAAGACTTCATAAAACAGCTCAACTTGGTGAAGAAGGAGACGGAACCACTACGCGAAGAGAGGGACCCTCTCGCAGAGACCGCATGGAGCGGAGGGATCTTTGAAGGAGGAGAGGAATAAGGAAGAAGTCGGTTGGCCTGCCACCCCTAAGGGTAGCCTCCGCTGCTGCGTATGAAGCGCGCAGGAGCGCCCTAGGACCGAGGTCTCGAGCCGCGAAGGCTAAAGGGGTGTGTCAAAAAGGGTGGTAGGCCAGGGGCGCTGGAAGCGATGCACACGCAGAGCGCCTAGGATGCCAGGAAGGCGCTAGGAGGAATGTTTGGCCGAGGACCGCGCTAGGTGCGCTTAGTCACAGGGAACACGCCGGAAGAAGGCGCGTAAGGGATACGGACAGGTCTTAGGAAAAGAAGAAGCACAATACACATCACGATTGACCCCTGAATGTGCGCCTACGAATATTCGAACAAAACGACTTATCGTTTACAAGCCGGCATAGAAAGCAGCCGCGTAGTCGTTAAGGAGACGAGACAACGCAAGCGCGATCGGCTTAATGTTACGACCCGTTAGATACACCTAACAGGACCCACTCGGTTGGGCGGTTATGACAGGACTTTGTATGCAGGGCCACGGGAACAAAAGGTAACCTCTCGGAACGGAAGAACTATAGAACGGAACAAGTCACGTGATGAATCATTCTAGGTCAGAATGATCCAAGAAGAGTTGGGGGCCAACGGATCATGTTCGATCAATATGATCTCCAACGACTACAGACAATACGTGTAGATAGACTCCTATATAGACCAGGACTTGAGTACCTGCTCAAGCCCTCTAGATAGTTCTTCAGCAATCAACTTGTGATTCATCCTCGAATGACTTTCAGCTTACCTCTCAGTATTGTGAATACTAAGAACCTCGTTACCATAGTGTAAGACTGATCACCTTACCCTAACCCTACGATCTACCAGAACGACCTCTACGAACCAGTGTTAGTCTCTTACTGCACCTTCTGTTAGCAGAACCCTACTGTCAGATAGCTGGCCGTAACACTATACTATAGAACGATATCGTGCTTAAATATATTTTATAGGCGAAGCGGAATAAAGATATTCCGGTCATTCCATTTCGGGATTATCCCTACAGGCGATATATAGGTCACGTAATGGTGAGGCTGCGCACTTCGCCTCGAAGGCATCACGACAAATATCTTATCTTCTTATCTGGAACCGGCTTAGTTAACAGGTCGATTAGTAGTTCGACGACAACTCCGTTGTTTCTTATTTACTCTTTCAAATAGCTAATCACAACCTTCTCAAACGATCGCTTGAATCTATGTGATGGCAAAATATACGTATTTGAGATCTCTTGTCTTCCTATGAATCACTGGCCGATTTTCGGTGTCGAAGTCGTCTAACGGATGGAACTTTCGTCAGGCAACCAGGCTAATCACTGCACATTAACAGCCAGCAGTGAATCCAGGCGTTACCCATACCATGCCATAGGTCAACACTATAAGAGGGGTATTAGTTACCTAGTTACTGGGTGCAATTGATCGTATGGTGTGCTCGATCAGGCTGAGCCTTCCCTTATCAGACCGAACAGTAGCATGGAAAATAGCGAATGAAGAAAAGGGGACTCAATGCAGTAACCCCTTAAGGGTCACTTATGCAGCCACAATGCAAGGATTCAGATACCTTGAGTTCGCGTGACCTGTTTCCACGGGTCTTTCTTCTAAGGGGTAGAAAGTGCTCGCAAGGCTACCACTGGCGTACAAAAGGTATAAAGTTCCCCCAAAAGCGCATCATACGGCATCAGTACTTTTTTAAAATCACTAAAATTCTTCATCGAAACTCAAATTCTCTTTTTCCTCAGCTAACAATGCCAGCTGTAAAGACAGCTTTTGCATCTCCGTGGAAATGTCTCAATATCAGAAATGCTTCCAGAGGTGATTTTGTTTTGATCCAAGTTCAAGGACCTGAAGGCTCTATTATTGCTCGGTTTCGCCGAAACAGGGAAAACGAAGACACCTTGGAGAATAAGCTCATAGCATACTATGAGGCTCTGGAGACGGAAACAGAAGCTGCTGGACGGGCATTTCCCGTGTCCGAGGACCTGAGCCAGCAAGTTGAAGAGGCCGTTGAGCATATCTGTGCCGATTACCGCAAATACGTTGAAGCGGATGCATTGCTTGATGTCTACACAAAGGATCATTTAGTCTGCGGAAAGATTACCCGTGAGACTGAAAGCTTTCAGCAATACCTTTCGCTGCTACGACCGTTCCACAGCATTGTTGGGGAAGAAAAACCAACGACAAGAGGACAAAATGAGGTCATTTCGTTCGGTGATCTCATCTTCGACTTTGCTTTCCAGAGCTTTCGAGGGACTTGTTTCAAGTGCAGCGTACCTAAACATCACATTGAGAACATGGTCTTCAAAGGCTTCTCATTTGCAGATTTCTTGGCTTTTCCCCGACAAGATTTCGAATGCAGAAGAGACGCCATGTATCGCGAGATGAAAGTTTTGTCCAAGGTCATACCGCCACACGAACACATAATTGGGGCGTCCGAGTTCCAAGTCGCGGCCACAGCATCAAGCCCGTTCATCACAGGCGTCTTGTATCCCCTCTACAGCCGCGGCACAGTTGCTCAAGCACTGAAGATGAACAGCAGTCTGGGGAAACGTGTCCCCCTTGTTCTTAAGGCCAAATGGGCGTTTCAAATCGTATCTGCCATGGCCCATACCCACTTCAACGCACCTTCGTGGCATCAAGACATCAAGCCATCGAACTTCCTTCTTGACGAGAATGACGATATCGTTATCATCGATTGGGAGCAAGGTGTCGGTGGAATTACAACGTTCATAGCAGCACCGGAGGCCAATGGATGTCTTGAAGTGCACTCCTCAGCTTCAGCGGGCACCGAAAAGCTAATTTACGAAGAGTATCAGGGGCCACCAAGAATCAACAACATCATAGGAACCCCCAAGTGGGACGTATTCCCACAGTGGAAAATCGATTGTCCTCGAGCCGTCGAACTGGCAGACGTGTATGGTATTGGCGTGTCCCTGTTCGTCATTCTGGAAGAAATACCATTGAACAATGCACCAGGAAACGAGGACTATGCTGGCGTTCGGGTGTCATGGACAAGCCGGTCTGCAGATGTCCCTCAGAGTTGGAAAGATGTCGTAGAGCTGTGCATCGCCAAAGATCCTAATGAAAGGATGGGTTTGAGCCAGTTGGTGGAATTCTGGAGGCACGAGTATCAGGATTTGTTAGAAAAGGATGGTCAACTTTAGTTGTAAGCTCGTTTCCCCTGATCGAATCTAGATTACCAATTCATTCAGTTCACATCCGCTGTGCATTGCGAAGTTATCAGTCAACCGATGGGGATTTGAGTCTTGAATAAAATCAAAGTTTACTAATATGATGGCATGTCAAGTCTGTTAGTGGCGAGGTCCTCCTCGCCTCAATCTGTCATTCTCCTTTGTTGTCGCAGAAGCTAATGACGGCGTATTCGCCGTTGCGGGTCCATTGACCTGTAGCATCGGGATCGATTTCTTTTTCCTTCCCCGGGCTGAGACCAACGACAGTGTCTGCCTTACAGGTTCGGAGTGACAAGATACGCATTCCCATGTCCCCAGTAGCCAAAGGCTTTCCCAGAAGACCAATGGCATCTCGAAAGCTTGTGGTGCGAGGCCAAAGGCCATCAAAGACGAGCTTCCTGTAGTTCAAGTCACCTTTAAAAATGACGAGGTCTGCAGCGCAGAGTTGAGTCCAAAGGTCTGGGGCTATTGTCTGCATGCGAGCATAGCAGTGCTGGGTGGTCCAGAAAGAATGTGCCTCGTATCTAAGCCTCCCGGACCGGGAGTATTCGCGCAGTTGCGCACTAAATTCGGCAGTCCATTTCTGCTCCTCCTCTGTTGTGGGCTCCGAGAAACCTGAAGTCTCGAATGTTTCCAGCAAGAAATCAAAGTCTTTAGCTGTGACATCCGAAACAAACCAGGGGATGTCTTTGCCATGGAGGACCACCTTTTCGGCGTAGCCTGCTGCCAGAAGATGGGAGACAAGAATGAGATCCGCAAGAAATTCAAACCCGGCGTTGTCAAGAACGATGTGAATCTCGTTGTTAGGATGCCTGGCTGGCAATGGGGCGAGGAGCTCCCAGACTTGCTCTGTGTCATCGTCGACGACATTTTTCTTGAAATTCTCTCTGGCCTTCTTGCCCTGTCGACTTTGGAGATCTTCTGTAGACACGTGCACGAGCAATAGCAGGTCGACGGCATTGCCCCAGAGACTGATTTGGAGAGCTTCCTCCATTATAGCCTTGAGGTCTTCTGCTGCGGTAAGAGACTTTTCGTTGACCTTGCGATTTACGTCCAGAACCCAATGAACGAGCTCAATGATGCTGCTCTTAGAAGACTTTAATGCATTCGCCTTTTGCTTGGCGAATGGATCATAGTCTTTCCAGAACTGGGTCTCCCGGCGGGCGAAGCAGTTGTGAATTAATCGGTAAAGATAATTCTCCGTGAAAAGCCAAGGGGAGTTGTGCCAAGTCATTGGGCCGAGGAAATCTAATTCTCGATTGAAGGAACCAATAACTTCATTGCCGTCATTTGGGATGGGCTGAAGTCGGCCATCACTTTCCATGCTGTCGAGCACCGTTTGGAGCGCAGCTAGCAGTGCAGACCCATCGTCCCTAATTTTGTTGGTACTATCAACATCCTGCACAGTGTTCTCAACATCCACAATGATGTTTTTCAAAATTTTCGGCCAGCGGGTTCGTGCAGTCGAATAAGCAAGAGATGCAGGGTTTCCAGAGTGAGACACGGCTATTAGAATGTCAGTGGTGACTGGTGGATTGCTTCTTCTCTCCATACGTACAGATCGATGCATCTATCTGGAGAAAGGTATCAGAATGCGCCATAGAGAAGCTTCGGGAATGTACAACTTGATTGATGATGATGATCAAGGAGATTGTTTGAAGGGATCGAAGAATTGATAAACCCTTGTCGTAAAATGAAAGGCTGATAATGTCTTATTTCTTTTGAGGCTTATTTTTACACCTGTCATGAACAGATCAGGCTGTCGTATACACCACATGCACATGGACAGGTCAACTTGAATAGGCAGACCGGTCTTGCCCAGCATAACGTGGTTGATTGCGGCACAGAGCCTGATTGAAGTGCTTGAACCGGTCAGCTTAAACGGGTTTAGTTCCGTGGTGCTGCAGGCTGGCAACGCCACTTGCTTATTCTTCTGCCAGAAAAGTACTGCCTCTAAACACAGAGTTTCAATCAGGCTGGGCCAAAAGCCAGTTCTGGCCATATGCATGAAGCTACAAACGAAACGGTTGCATCGAGATAGACAGAGACGGGTGTCAATTATGAGGTGAATTGGTCGGTTTTAAGTAATTACATGTGACTAAGATGTACCAAGCTACATCATATCCTATGCAAGCTTGGCCCTCATTCATATCTTCGACTAGGTACGTTCCAGAACCATCACAGACGTATCGAAGTATTCCTCCTCTCCATCCACCTGGGTTCTGAACTTGGCGACTTCTGTGAATCCCAGCCGGTTGTAAAGTCTAGTTCCCATGGGGCTTCCAAGAAGCGTCAGAGTCAAGTTTTGCTTCTCGGCCTTCTCGAAGCCCCACTGGCATAGCAATTCTCCTGCGCCACGCCGCTGATAAGATGGATGACATGCCAACATTGACAAGTAAAGCTGCTGATCACCGTACTTTTCATCGAACCATTGCGCCTTTGCTTTTGACATCGCCGCTCTATAAGCCTTCATGCGCTCTGGCGCTGCATCCTTCCGTTGAAGGTGATCTGTTGGCGGTCCAGCGTTTGCTACACCAGGGTTAATAAGCAAGCATGAGAACTCTGTTCATGACGTTACGTACTACTTGTCTCGGGTGGTTGCACTTCGGAAGGAGGAAGCTGCCAGATACTATAGGCCACTGGCTTCGTAACAGTAGGGTCCTCAATGCTTGGGCACTCATAAACAAAAAATGCATTTTCCCCGGACATCATGTACTCCTCGTTTCGAATACGTGTGTACTTGGTGTGATCTTCGGGATACTGCTCTCTGTAGGGAAAACGGTACGTGCAAACAGGATCTGCTGGAAGAGCCGCAACAGCAATCCATGTGATGGCGTCCAAATCGGACTTCGTGGCTGGGCGAATGGACATGATGGATTGAAAGAGAACACACCAAATGTCTACCAAAAGAGGACTAGGTAGCTAAGTCGGCAGACAATAACGCAAGGGTTGCGGACTACAGATGATCTAGGCTGCCACCTTGAGCCAAGGAATACAAGGCAGCGACGACACCACTTTATACTGCTGAAGTGAGGGGCGCGTCTTCCTGGACATGACCTGACCGGTCAGCTCTAAACGGACGAGGCTGTGTTAACAGATACGCACCACTTTCAGCATGCTAACTATACGTAGCTGGCTCTGGCTGTTTCATTAGAAAAAGCCATTCGGTCTTAATTTCCAGGCGGCATAGCGGCTGCGGCCACAGGGTAACCTGGTGAGAAAGGCCGGCGATCATTAGGAATGACAGGGGACATCCAACCAAATCTTGGGGGAATGCACCACCACGGTCCGGCCTGGACATTAGAAGACTACTTGAGTTCGTTCAGCCATCCCAGTCTATGTTAGAGAAAGTCTACGTAAATCTCACTAGCCAGCTCAGATCAGCTGTGAGCAGATACCCTTCCCAAGTCCAATGACCCTCAAAATTCTGTCTCACAAGATGTTTTTGCCCCTAATGGCCGCACATCCAGTACCAAATCCACAAATCAGACAACGAATGAATAATTACTGGGTATAGTGAGAAAAGCAAACACAGATACTCCGACCCCAATTCCAGCGCCCGCTCCCTCCTTGCTCCCCTCTTCCGAACCGGTCAACCTAATCCAGCCCTGACTCCAAGACCAATCAAAACTGAGACCCAATGCCAAGCAGCAATACATCATGCCCCGCAGCTTGTAACATGTTTTCCGATCGATGAGCGGTTGTGGTGTTTTTCGGTGCAGATACAGACGAAGATGTAGCTGCTCGTTCCCCGAAGCGACTTGACGTGGTGAAAGAGTTGTTTGGCGAAATCATGCGTGGGGAGAGAGTTGGTAATGGATCTATGTGCACCATAAAGTTCTTTAGTTTTGTCGGTCCAAGGTGACGAACTGCCCCGAAGAGGGAAAGGGACTTACCTCGAAGAAAAAGCGGTCTAGAGGACGGGTTGTAGTGTCCTTCGTTGGTTGTTCTGGTCATCTTGAACTTTCAGAATATCTTTTCGCCTCTAATACAGTTGAACAACAGCTTTATCTGGCTGTTTTGGGCCGATATCTCAGCCATTTCTTGTTGATCAATTGCCGCCATCACTGTTATATATACCTACTATCGAAATGTCTCCTCGAACTGACCAATTCACAAAGCGCACAATTAGTCCCTTTCAAAGTGAGGCTTAACCGGTCGGCTTTTTTGGAGAAAGCGGGACAACCTCTGGCAGCCCCCTATTTCTTGAGCGCACCACGAACAGTAGACCGGTCGGAGGCCTAGGATGTACCGAATCATCACAGCTTTCCTCGGCCAGGCATCAACCGAAGGCCTTTTTTTCTCCTCTCACTTACTTGCTACTTGGCTTTGAAATACTGCTGGTCAATTGCGCGCTCTTACTGGTTATGCAAGTGGAAAGATTTGGCATTCGAGGTACTACGTACCAAAACATCACAAGTTTTCATCAATTGAGTGAAGTAAAGAAAGATTGAATTAGGTCCAGCCAAAATAATGAGTTGCTTTCTTCAGACAAGTTCATTCTGTTGATATCTATATTGTCGTAGTTGGCCCCCAACGCGTATCATAGAGCTGCGACACGAAATACCAGTCATTTTCGAAATCTTTTGCCTCCCTTATCCTCCGAAACTCGGGAACTGTTGTCAAAGTTAGTAAAATTTAATACAAGAGTGGTAAGCTGACCACATACGTCTTTGATGTATCATTTCGGTGGACTCTCGAATGAACCGCTCTTGTGAATGGTTGAGTTGGACCATGCGCAGGTTTTCTGGCGTGATCCATCCCGGTGTGAAGGGCGAGCTTCCCTTATTGCAGTAATGAAAGTAGTAGAGCATCGTCTTAGCTCCGTTATGAAGCGCTTCGACGAATTTGTCGTACACGTAACGAGTCTTGTAATTGATAATGTCAGAAGGGAGTCGTGATCCGTGTCTCAAGCTACATGACATACCTGAAGACCATATTTCTTTGCTTGCTTGTTCTCATCTGCTGTAAGGATGGAGCAGTTGTGAAGCAAAATGAACAAGCTGAGGTAGATCGAGAACCATGAACGTGGGTCGTTTGCTTTGATGAGTTGTTGGAGGCGTTTCAAGACGGCAGCTTTCAGCGGGAGCAGAATCTGCGTCGTGGTTATAAGTTCGACCTGTGCGCTCATCATGGGCGTAATCGAAACTGTCCCATAGCTACCGACGTCCTCGTCTAATGTCTGTGGATCCATGCCTAGAGTTTCGTCTCCGATGATTCGCTCGGATTGTGATTCCATACGAATAGCGACCCAGAGCTGGAAAAGATCTTGTAGCATGCGTCTACCTTCCGGATCATCTGGAAGATCTTTTGGCTGGAATACCATCTTATAAGCCATGGAATATGTGGAGGATAGTAGCTTGTCCTTCTTCGTCATAATGTAGTGACGAATACTCGTGCCGATGTTTTGAGCAACAAACTTTTTGAAAGCTTTCCCAGTCTCTTTCATGTTGTAAATCGCATATGGTCCTCTGTAATACTTAATGAGTTCACCATTCTTCTTCCATGTCCGTGATAGCGAGTCTCCATCGACGGGAATGAACTTGCGGCATCTGATGTCAATTGTTGAACCCCCAAAAACATCTTGAGTGACTCTGATTGTCCTGATTTCTTCCGAGGCCCATGCTGTGATTTCAGTCATTTCCCAGCTGCTCCATCTTTTGCTCCAGCGGTATTGTGGGTGGGCACCTTTGTCGAAAAGCTCCGACTCAGTGATGTTGGAGCGAAAACAAGGCAATTTACATAACGTAGGACCTGATATCCTTGCACATCTTGCACAAGGACCATCCTCATTTTCTTGTACTGGAGAACACTTGTGAAAAGAGATTGTCAGCAAACACCAAGGTTGCGTAGCTTTAGATTCAACGAGAAATCACGTAATGCCTACTTACTCGAACACGTTGCAGGCGGCATCGCACGCATGCACCAGTCTTGCGCGTTTCCGCAGTTTCCTTCCGCTTAGCCATGCTTTTGAAGGGTTGTCTGACTTTTGGAATGTTCTTTGTGTTGTCTGTCGTGCCCGCATAAAACACCACAATCTTGGGGCCATCACTGTTTGCTGAAGACTCGTCGAAGGGATTGTCACCCTCCGCTTCGGGAGAGGTAGAAGTTGTTTTTGATCTTTTAACTACTTCTAAACTATCTGGGTCGGTATCTTGGCTGGATTTGTCGATGGAAACGACCCTATTTGGATTGCTTGAACTTATATCTCGCGATGAGTGTTGTGTTTCTGCAGAAAGCTTGTTAAACAATTCATAAGAAGGCCTCCTTTGGCCTATGTCTCCAGTTGAAGACAACTGGGTTGGCCCACTGGCTGCTTTCCGTATAGTAAGCTCTTTGGGGTGAGGCGGCACATGCGTAGTTGTGATAGCTCTTGGCCAGATGTCACCTATGAACTGGTTCGTGTCGACAAGTGATTCGGTGTATGTACTGTCAAAGTCGCCTAGTTGGTCAGAAGACTGAAACAAAAACTCTAAAGTATTGAACTCGTCGATATCAGCGGAAAATTCTGCTGATCCAGGCAAGTTGCCGTTGCCCAAAATCTCAAGTTTTGTAGATGGCAGCGCGGTATGAGACGGGTGAAATACAGGATCGGATGCCAAGAGTTGGTCAATTTCGAGTGAACTTCCATCTGAATATGGTTGAATGAGCGAAGCGGTTTCATCCTCTAGTGAAACCTCACTCAGCAATGCTGGGTCTTGGATCTCATTGCTGAATGTAATATTGTCTGGTTGCAATGTAATGAAGGCTGACGGAGTGCCAGCATTACCTGAAGAATGCGGAGTTCCTTTGAGAGGTTGTCCATATCTTGGCTCATTGGCGACCGAGGGTAAGAGTCCCATCTGGGGAAAGCCCCGTGGTACTGGCTGAGAGGAGGAAGCCAAGTCTTCGATGAAGGCCTCCGGTATTTGATAATGAAACAATCCTTGAAGTTCACCAGTTGACATGGCAGTATCTTGCCGAATGCTGCTGACTCTGTCCTGCTCAGTCACAGGTGTTGGCGTACCCAAAATCGGTTCAAAATCCCAGCCTTGCGTTTGTGTGCTACATCGTGGGAGAGATGGACCAGCGCCAGAGCTGTCGGAGCGAGACATGGATTCATGATGTTGTGGTTTTCCAATATCGGAAACAGACCCAAGGCGCGATGTTAAACTTCTACCCCCATCTTGAAATGGATTGGAAATCTGTAAGATAGACGCGGCTTGCTGAAGAATCAGGCGTTCTACTGGCGAGTAAAGCCGTGGCCTGGTCCCCAGTAGGGACTCATCGGCGTCAGCATCTCCCTGCCACGGCCTCTTTGACCGACGATTCTACCAAACACATTCGCATCAGCAATGGGACTTTAGATAGATAATTTTCCCGTACGTCGATTTTTTTTTAGAGCGCATAAGAATGGAATTAAGTTCTTTCAAGTGTCAAATATCCTGACTTACCATGATGTAGGAGTTTGCACAAGTTTTATGTACCAAATAAGGAGGGAGTCGGGAGCGGGGCCTCGCCCATGATTTCAGTTCAATGTTTGTTGAGGACCACCGATTGGGATGCCGTAAAGAGAGGTCGGCGCTTATGCACCTTATAAAACCGACTGGGCTTTTAGCCATGACCCAAGCCCCAGGAGCTTCGAACGGCGGCCTTTCTCGCCTTGCTTATTTTTCATGCAGTGTCCTACACCCTCTCTTGATCACTGTACTCCGGTTGATTGGCTCTTAGATAAGGGCTGCATCATCCCACCACAGTGACTGGCCAGTCACTGACAGGTGGGATGTTGACGCCTGTTGCAAACTAGGCTGTTTGGTGCCAAAGTACAGTCACCCATAAACGCACTACTTTAGGTGTGTCTCGGGCAGAATGGTGGCAAACACACAAATCAAGAGAGAAGAACAAGTGCAAATATACTTTAAGAGCCTCCATAACAGGTTGGGCTCACACGACACTTTCGATAAGAGATAGGAATATTGTGTGATGAGATGAAGCGCGCCAGGCTTGGCTGTAGGAAAACGGCTAAAAACAGTTTTTCTTTCCTTTTTGATAGTCCTTAATAAACTTCAAGTATTCAAAAAGAGAGCCGGCCAGTATGGTGCTTTGATGGAATGATTTGGTGGTATGCAAAGAACTATTCGTAGTGTTAATAGAAGTAACAGCACTTTAGTAATGACCGTTATGCTAAAGGTTCTAGCAGGGAAATCATAGGGGACCAATTCTCCTTGGCGGGATTAACTGTAGCAAAGTATGCCTGGCCCCCGCCTGTCGGCCATATCAATGCCAGCCACTTCCGATGCCTCAGGTTGTGCTGCCCACTGAAGGCCTCTGGAGGCCCCAAATGCGGCTCATAGTGTTGTTATGTTTGCCTATCATCTTCAATAGGGCTAGATACAGCAAAAACTGTCTTTTTTTTTTTTTTTTTTTTTTTTTTTTTGGAGCGTCTCAATTAGTTTTATTTCTCGTAGGTGATTGCACTGCGCAGATTGCCCTAGCCTCAGCATCAATATTGCAATGTGATTAAAATACCAAGTCCTGTCTCTGGACTCATTTGTTCATATATTTGTAATATGAGTTCTTCGCATTCTTATCTAAAGGAAGACGGCTGAGCAACCTCAATCACAGAAATGAAAACCATGTCGCATCGGCTTGCGGCAAAAATGGGAGCCAAAAAGTGCAAATGTCGTATTGGATAGATTTATCGGTTAGCTATTAAAGTTAGCTGCGCTCGCGCTGCGAAGCTTTTTTGAGGAATGCCAAATAGGAATCCACTCGGTGAAAGGGGGCTATCATCTCCGGAGTCTCCGACTAGACATCATATATGTATGGGCTTGGACCTCGCTCGGGGCATATCGCTCTTTGTTAACCATTACGGCAAAAAATTTATTGGGTCTTGTTGGGTCACCTTGATGCGGACAGTTTCGGCGAGGTTGCTTCATCTAACTGCGCCCTCTAGGAAGCGTATCATTCGATTGAAAACTTCAACCCTGACAGATTGTAGCGCTATCACCAGGAATCCATTGAGCTGTGAGAGGATTTCTTGACTGGTGTTTTCGATCAAATATCTTCACATTTCTCCGTCCCGCCGCGGTGGTATCAAAGATGGTCAGCTAAAGAAGTCGAATGCAATGTTCGATGGGGCGGATCAGCGTAGCAATCATCACAATAACGCTGCCTACCCTGACTCGATGTGATACAACAATCCGCCGCACAAGCTTGCCCCGTACCACAGTTCCCAACTAATTGGCACGAGGTGGCTCGAGCACTTTAATAATTTATCCTTTTGGCAACGGTAGCGGCCTGAAAATCAACGCTTTCCGTCGTCTTATCTTTTCCTTGCCAGGAATGGTGGATCAGACAGCATAGTGTTCAGTTAAGGACCCGCTCGCCGGCTGACATACCTCGAACTCTATTTTACTAGTTCGTCTCATGGAAATATTCTAGACGAAGCTGACAGAGCCTAGCCGTCCGTCCGAATGGGCTGCACAAAGGGGCTTAGTATTGTCCAAATTACACTATGCTGGCCCGATAGAGTTGCTCTGCGAAGTCGAAGCAAGACCAACTGACTCGATCTTAAGGATAAGCTCAAGTCTTTAATGGTATAAAACCCTCGCTGTCGAATTCCCTCTAAGTAACCCCTTTCTCTCAATAACACCATCACTCTCTTCTTTCAGTCGCTACCATCAATCTTTCAAAATGCGTTCCATCACTTTCGTTCTTGCATCCCTTGTCTCGGCCGCCGCCGCCGACTTCACCATGTACTGCTGCGCTGGCGGAAACACGAGGATCACCACTGGCGACATCGCATGGGCTCTGGATGCCAAGAATGGCCGAATTAACGAGATGGGTATTGCTGGAGGCGCCACCTACCATACCACCCTCGGCATGTGCAAGTTTGGCAACCAGCCGATGGCTTGCGGCAAATACGTCACCTCAGCCCGAACCAGGGATCGAGCATCGACAAAGCTTAAGAACGGCCGTCTTTCTTGCGAAGACCCTGCATATCTAGAAGTTGACCAATGGCACTGCCCATTCTAAATCTATCCATACGGAATTGCTGAAGTATTTTGCGTATTATTACTCATGTAAGCGAACCACCGAAACCAGCAGAAACTCTACAGGTGCTAACATGGGAAAGTTTCACAAGAAATCATGCTGGTTCATACCCACGCAATTGAGAAGCAGTACTGGCCAGATTGGAGTTCTCAAAGTACTTTGGATCTGACAGAGATATGATCTATGAGTCAACTAGTTGCGCAGCTCGGCGAATTTGATGTACACCCCAAAGCCAAATCTGGGGTTTGATTAGAAAGTATCCATACTTGTAATAGGAATGCTATCAACACCTGATATCAGCAGAAGATATCCCGCGAACTGAATGTTAGGCATAATAAAAAGCGAAAGGTGATATCGCATGATTGATTAAGCTTTACGAATATAAATCAGGGTGGGTTAGATCAGAATCTGTTATCACAGCCAAGCCTAAGTGCAAAAACAAACCTTAAAATTGAGAGCCCGTTCTGCTAAATGATTCTATATGGTGTCATTTACTTCAATGACGATGGTATTTCTAGTCAACCCAGGTCATATGACCATTCATTTAACGTTAGTTTGAAGATGTTAAGTTCTTTATAGAAGTTCTGTTCTCATCTTCAATGCTTGATGTAAAATGGTCAAGCACCCATATGGGGATACCGTGATGTTAAAGAGTGAGCTGTATCGAAGGCCTTTATCGGTAGCCTGTGCATAACATTGAGTGATACACCACAAATGACACGGGTTACTTGAAACAGCGTTACATTCTCCAAAAGTTTGCATGTCCGGTTTCAAGCCGAGCCAACTTGCTGTTTCACACGTGTAGATCCACAAAGTTCTTATCGTCTGTTCAACGTGTCAGACCTGTCATACTGACGATGTATTTCGATGCTCGAGGTTGTTACACGACGCAGTTACACATTACTGTGTTATGATCACCTTAACCCAATGCCATGGTAAGATTTACGTCCATCGGCACGACGAGAACATCGTAGGTATGCATATGGCCAGCTTGACACGAAGGTCTGGTTCTATACTGCAGAACTGACTGGCTTACTGGTCCAAGCTGCTAACTTCTGTAGCCTCACGCTTTCAATATGTAAACGATTTTGTAAAGAGTCGTGGTATGAAAAGTCTGAAGCTATGAGGGGTGGAAGCCGAAGGGTGAAGCAAGCCAGTATCACCCCTTCATATTCATTTAATTTCTCTGATAACAACTAGACTTGGTGTAAACCCTTCCAAGCTCTTTCGCTAACCAGCGGCGATCATCAATAGTAAGCCAAGTTGCTTCTTCTATTTTGGAGGTGATATACATCATAACTTGCCTCAAACAAGTCCTCAAAATCTCCCGTCTTTGTTTAGTCCCCAACCTAGCGTATACAGTTGCTGCCGGCAACTCACTTACCTCACAGGCCCGCATCTTGGCTATTTGAGGCACTAGCCTTTTCAGGGTTTACATCCGCTCTAGTGTCTAGAGGTTCAATGATAACATCAATTTACATTATACCCCTGTACCAAGATGCCGTGTTTACTAGTCGTAAATTCGACAAAGATATATGGCTCAGCAACCACTTCTAAAAGAATTGTTATGCAGTTTACATTGGTGTGATGATTCCAACGTGCCTATCCACGATGAGAATACCCTGCCTCTGGTACTTTCTGGATACAAGGGCTGTCTCAGGCAGAGTAATTAGAGATCGAAACCTTGCCAGCCATGCTCATCGTTGCTGGCCAGACTCTTGTGTCACCTTGCCCAGACCCTTTGAGATAGCCAAGCCTGTCGGTGGGATTGAAAGTAATGGGTTGCCTACTGCTCTCAGCGAGACATACAATGACGGTAAACGGGTGCAATATAACCAGGTAAATAAAGACTATTATCGAGAAAACCACGTGTAGTATCAGTATACAGAATGATGCAAACATAGGATCAAGTCGTGTGTTACAAAAACAAGATTGGCTTCTGCAAATAAATGTTAGGCTATTGGAAAAATAGGAACCGCCAAGTTAAAGATGTATACAAATATGGTCTAATAGTTTAACAATCAAAGAATACCGTACAAAATATTACCAGTCCGAGATTGAACTTGCCTTATATTCACTTTTCAACAACCATGATATGATTGCTGAGATTGCTCCTATTACGCAACTCGTGAATCCGTAAGATATTCAGAGAGGGAAATAGAGTAACATCACAAAATTCACATATAAAGGCATGTGCATCATCAATAATGAAAAGATTCAGGCTGTGCATCGTGGTATATTGGTATGATAGATTGGTAGAGAATATGAGTTCAGACTCGACAAGGGTAAAGCCACCCAGATGTGATGTGTGTCCACCTCATATGGGTAACCCGTCCTCCTATCAGCCATGCAAAAAAGTAGGTAGCACGTCACCCATCGTTTCCCCGTCCTCATGACATTAAAGAGTTTAGTCCAGCAACAAAAAGAAACCAACCACACAAACACCCGCTCGCTTCGTTCAGACATTTTGACCACCGTAGTGGTAAGAGTCGCGGAATTAGACGTCCTGGACGTTGACGACATCGCCGTAGCGGTCGACAGCGACCTGCTTCTTCTTGGTGGACTCCTTGACGGGCTTGTCGGCGGCGAAGATGTGGTCGAGTTCTTCGAGCTGTTATCGGGGTTAGCATGCGTGTTCTGGGAGGGTTCTGCGGTGGGCGGTTCAAAACTTACAGTGCGGCCCTTGGTCTCGGGCAGGTACAGCCAGATGATGAAGGTCTGGACGGCGTCCCAGATGGTGAAGATGATGTAGGTCTTCCAGGCGATCTTCTCCATGGAGACGGGCCAGGCGAACTGGTTGAGGAGACCGGCGGCGTTGACAGCCAAGTTGGAGAAGGCCATACCCTTGGCGCGCATCTCGAAGGAGAGGACCTCGACGGGGTAGAGAGCCTGGAGGGGGGTGATACCGACGGAGTAGACGGAGCCGAAGAGGAAGATCATGGCCAGGCAAGCCTGGGAGGCAGCCGGGTTGTTGAAGATGGGGGCATCGTCCTTGGTAACACCAATCTGGGACTTGGAGAGGATGCCGGAGGCAACGGTCATGCCGAGCCAGACGACAGTGCAGGCGGAGAAGGAGAAGAGCAAAAGTGGGCGACGGCCGACCTTGTCAACGAGGAAAGCACCGAAGATGGCGCAGGCAAACTGTTGGCACGAGTTGATGAGGGTGATGTTGGCCTGCTGGATGGGGTGCGTGTAGCCGGCGGTGTCGAGGACGGAGCCGAGGAAGTAAGACAGCACAGCGTTACCGGCCCACTGTCCGAAGATGGAGACGGCCAAGTTGCAGCAAAGACGGTAGACGGCGGCGCGGTTGCGGAACAGGGCGCGGTAATCCCACCAGCGCTTGTCGGCACCGTCCATGTCGAGGAGCTCCTCGTACTCGTGGAGCTGGAGAGTGACCCAGGGGGACTCGGCGTTGCCGTTTCCGTGGTACCTGGTGAGGACCTCCTTGGCCTGTTCCTTCTTGTTGTTGACAAAGAGCCATCGAGGAGACTCGGGCAACCACATGCAGAAGATGACGATGAGACCAGAGAAGAGGGCCTGCATCCAGGTGATGAGACGCCACGAAGCATCACCCTTGATCTCGAGGGCGCCTCGGGCCGTTCCAGATGCAACGATGGCACCGGAGAACCAGAGGGTGTTGTACATGGCACCGACGACACCGCGGTAGGCAGGGTGGTTGATCTCGACGACGTACATGGGACCAGCAGAGGCGGCGATGGAGACACCGAAACCGAGGAGGAAACGGCCGCCCATGAACTGGCCGGTTCCGTTGGCGGTACCCTGAATGCAGGTACCGACGATGATGATACCAGCTCCGATGAGCATACCGACGCGGCGACCCCAGGTGTCAAGGCAGGGACCGACGAATGGGAGAGCGACGACACCACCGATCTGGTAGATGGAGGAGATGATACCGGCCCAGATACCGTCGTTCTTGGCGCCATAGCGCTCCTTGAAGGAAGGGTTCTGGAGCAAGTTGTTGATGAGGGAACCGTCGTATCCGTTCATGGTGGAGCAGAAGAAACCGACGAGAGAGAAGGCGTAGATCATGATCTGAGCCTTGGTCCAAGCCGAGGGAGGATCCTTGATCATGGCCTCGTTGAAGGCCTCGGAACCAGTGACCACCTTGGTCTGGACCTCCTTCTACAGAAAAGCAGGCGCGTTAGCAAAAACCCCAGTGATGTGATGTGCAAGGGGATATATCGAAGACATCACAAGACATACCTTGTCGGAGTCATGGTCCTCCTGGTGGGGTTGGATGGTGTTGACGGTATCAATCTTTTCAGACATGTTGGCGGTTGGTGGCAAGCTGCCAGGTAACAGCCTCCTTTGGAGTGTTGGCAGTAGGAGGAAGACTTGATTTGCCAATTACCACAGACCGAGCTGCGAGTAATGGATGTTGTGTCCGAGAGTGGGATGAGAGAGGATGAGGATGGAGAGCTCGAGACAAAGACAGTTACCGATCGCGGGACAGGCTGAGGTTTTATGATTTTCGGCGTCTTGGTTTTCCTGCCAGACGGGATCAGCAGTTGGAATTCCGATGGACAGAGAGACACACAAAAAGCAGCCGTTAGCTTGCTTGCAAGGACGAACCCCAACTCCCAATTGCCCATCATTAGCTCGGCCGTTTCGAGCCCACCCCCTCCATGCATGGATGGGCATGGGGTGTGGAAGGACGGGCCACCCTCACATGGGACCGAAATGGCGGCTGGCCTGGGCTTTGCTTGTACTAGCTGGGCAGCAGATCGTTGGTTGTACCACCACCCCCCCTTCACCGGCCCCCCTCCCCTCTAACCCCTGCTCTTCTCACATAGTAGTGCCCCCGTACGAATTGCATTGTGTGGAAAAGACGCATGGCTCTGGGGACCGCTGGTTGCCACTGGGGCGGGCGGGCGATGGGCGAGTCCCACCAAGCACCCGACAGATGGGCAGAGCAGATGGAGGGTTTGTCTAGAGGCATCGCCGGTTCTCGCCTAAGAGTGCTGGCAGTGGGCTACGCTATTTTCTTCTTGTATTTCTTCGGGTGTGGCTCTACTAGTATTTGGGGCGTGAAACTGCTTGGCAGGTACCAAAGATTCGTTCGCTGAAGGCTATGATGGCTGCAGCGCAATCAATGTAAAATAGATTAGGTGGGTGTACATCTACAGTATAGAAGCCAAGGGGAGGCCTGTGAAGCTGCTTCTTGTCTATTCTGCGTGTCTCATCTAGCGTGTGGAGTGGTACCCCAAGTCCCCCAACTTCTCCTCACGACTGGTTCGTCTAGCGGTACAACGTGCTGTGCTGTACATGCCGTCTGCGTGCCAGGGCTGATGAAGGATCATTGTCCTTCCATCTGCAGAGGTTATCAAACGGGCCGGCAAGCGAGAGACATGCTAATGTTTGGCTGTTAACGAAAGACGACTTGGTGTTGTGATTCGGCTGTCAATGGCGTTGAGTGGAGGCGAGCAGTGACATTCTGCTCTACACTATTCTAGTAGCAGTAAACTACATACATAGTACAGCAGTCACTGCGTTTCCCTCCCCGGATCAGCGGGTCCAAAGGCTCCGCAGAAGTGACTGGGATATTTGCGGATGTTCTGATGCTCTGCCTAATCGCGCCGCTCTGATGGAGCAACGCTCAGAAAAAAAGTAGCCCAAAAAAGGTTTTCTGAATCTGGGGTGAGTGTGGGTGGGTTGGTGGAGATGCTGCCCGTCTTGCCTCAAGGACCGACCAGGCTGCATCGTCGGAATCAAGACACATGTTTACGGGTGATGAATCGAAGCGTCACTATCGCGTGTGTGTCTGTCTACCATGTATCCGTATAATCGGAGATATTTTTATTTGTTGGCAGTAGCTTCTTTACGCAGCAGCGGTTGGCAGCAAATCAAACCATGGCGTTATCGTTTTCGAGGGACCACCTCCGGAAGAAGTTGTCCAACAACACCGTTTGTTGGAGAGCCGGTCCGGGATTGGGACCTGGCGCAGCCGAAGACACGAGCCAGTCGCAACGATGGCACGCGGTTGGCTTGGTGGCGTATGGGTTAGCTGGGGAGACTTGAGCTGGGGAAGAGGGAGAGCAAAAAAGAAAAAGAAAAAAAACAGATTGGTACAGAGAGGCATATCTGGAGAAGAAGACGCCAAACCCGAAAAAGGAGTCCAGGCGAACAAAAATGAGAGGAGCGACATTTGACTGGAGCCGGCCCGTCTTTCCATGTGGCCTGAGAGTCAACGCCTGATGGCTGTCCCTGGTTACTATTCTTTTTTTGCTGCTGCTCTGTCTCACGGCTACTTTTCTTAGGAGAAGAGCACCAGGGACACAGCTGGTCACCCCTTGTCGTATCGTCCCATGTCCCTGCCGGGGTGTTTCTTACTAAGGTCCGGTACTTGTCCGTACCGGCAGCGTCTCCCTTTAACTGAAGTACCTCGTAATAGTCCCGTGTATACTTGTTGGAGATGCAATGAGGGTTGCTAAGAAGCTCAACTAGCCACATCTTGATCACTAGAACTCTATAACAAGATGGGTCGAGAAGCAACACCGGTCTTGTCCAAGAAATGAGCAACTTGTACATTCCCTTTCGTTGAAACTTTGCAAAGTTGCAAAAAGTGATCATGATCGAGTTGACAAATGTCCATATGCACCTGTTCCATGTCCTCAACTTCCAAAGCCCGCCACGCTATGCCTATCTGGTAGACGGGCCGCCTTCCTCCGCGCTAAATTTCGTCCCAAAACGGTAATATGTGGTGGAGAGCTTCTCTAGGCGCTTTCTGAGCGGGCTAAGACGGATTGTCTCCACGATCAATGACCCACCATTTCGTCTTCGACATCCATCTTCTTTCGTCTAGATGTAAGATGTTATTGACATTCCGCTCCGTTGACTGGGTTGGACGTCCTGATGTATCAAGCCCCCAAAAGATGGCTGATGTCTACAAGCCGGAGTTGCTCTCTCATTGGTCTTACAACATCCGCCGGGCCCCTCAATGGTTCCCCTGCCGCTGCAAGCCACCGGCAAAGGGATCCTGTTCCTTAATTCGATTAATTCCTCTTGTCGGCCTCTACGATTCCTGAGTGGACCACATCTAGTGGTGGAATCATGTCTTGGGAAAAGGCCCGACAATAGACGAGCCATCAGGAAAACACACGCGACCCGTCGACGCGGATCTCGTTGCCAGCTACCCTGGTCGTTCAGTCACATTATCGCCAGTTTGCTCCCCGCTCCCCTCGTCCCGATTCGTGTTGGCTGGTCAGCTACGCACCTGAGTCTCTCAGCCAATTCATATTCCCAATGGTCATGTTTAGCGATCCAGCCACACCTGTCTTGTTCTCTCCACAGTGGGGATTCCCTGCATTCAGCGGGCCGTGATCCAAACGCCACGCTGCAAATTCCTGTCCACGCACCCATTCCTACAGACGACTGTAGACCACCCTCTATGGCTCAATGTGTGAAGCGGAGAGGAGGGCGTTAACGGCCGTCTCAGGGATTTAGAGCCACGGACCCGAAATCCTCTTACTGCGCCGCTGGTGAGCGCTCAAGGTAGCTTAGCCCGACTAAGGAGGGAATCGCAGGATGCCATCAGGGCGTCTTCGGCAACGGCAGTTGGTCATCGCTTCTCGCGATTAAAAACCTTTTACTGGCCAGCGTAATACAGTATCGGTCTACCGCGCCGAACAGGTACCCGTAGCTACGTTAAGCCATCGTTCATTCTGATTCATCAAAGTTTGGTTTGAGAGGCATTACGGGGAAGCTTTGGTAAGCGGAAAATCACGAGTGTATCGAACATGTCTGTTACAGTTGTTCCTATTTCCGGGGTCCGGGAGGCGGCAAAATCATACGTGATCTTGGGCTGACATGAGCAAACAGCAAGCATTCTTTCTGCCGGGCCATCAGAGCCATGTGTTGGAAAAGGCATCAGATTGGCCATGTCAGCTTGTATGTATACAATGTATAACTTTAACAGGTTTTAGGCAAGAAAAACCACTTAAAGATTTCTCTCAGTGGCATAATGATAAAGCAGATTCAATCTCTGACTTTTTTGGCGCGTACATGTACGGCAGCCCGGGTTTCCCGGCTTGTTAGGATGATGTCTCTGGATAAGCGCATCAAGCTGGAAGAATCGACAACCAAGAAGGTGGCAATGTCAGAGTCACATTCACTCGCGTGCGCCTATCGGGAAAGGCCGTTGGACCTGATTGATCTGCAAATAATAAATCATGGGCCACACCAGTCTGTGAAGATCTCGACAAGAGAGGGGATGGGTTACTCAAAGGGTCTTCTACGCTTGAGATTCACATCAGCCAGCGGGATCTGACCTCTACGATCTGAGTGGCAAGCCTTGGCCGCGTTCCGGCTTGGGAACTCAACGAGTAAGCTGCGGAGTGGCGGCGGCGGCGGCGACGGAACGAAGCCTCACATCACCATCGGCGAGAAGCGACTTCCAGGCCTCATGTTCGCCCAACTTTTCCGACTAGCATACCTGCATGTTCCCATGCCAAGAACAGTAACGGAGAGCTTAGGGCTACCGCAAGGCTCGCCCCGACAATCCGACTCAATTTGGGGTTTCTGAATGCCTTGTGGGCGGCACAGCGCTTAAAAAGTGGTGTTGAAAATCCCAAACGTCTGAGATTCGTCGAAGCCGGCAGGCAGATATATTGGGCGTACGGCTAGGCTTCCTGCATGCAAGGTTGATTCACTGCATCTAAAGCTGTTCCAACGCGGTTTAACATGGCACCATACGCCGGATGTAGACGTGAGAAAAAAAAAAAAAAAAAAAAAAAAAGAGTCTGTCGAGATGCCCATCCCCCAGATCGGATTCTAGCTGCAGCAACACACCAGCCTCAACTCTAGTGCTGTCCGGGGTTCCGACGCACCTAATACAGACTGCTCTGCGGCAACAGCTTCCGCCAACTATTCAAATCAGGCGTTGGGCAGCCCTGTTCGTTTCTGGATGGGTCCAATGCCAAATCTTGTGACCCCCAGCCCCAAAACGAAATGGCGCTAACGGAACAGCTTTCCTGAAAGAAGACCGGGGTGCTACCCTCCATGCTCCCCAATGTATGGACAGATCCGCGGTTCTGGAACTTGTGCCCCCCTCCCTCAACGCTAGCCCATTTGTGTGTTGCGATACTGGCATCTAAGTTCGTGACATTTCAAGAATTCCCAAATCAACGAAACTAAGCAATTTAGACGAGCTTGTTCGTCCTGGCTGGGTATGTCGGCAGGAAGCGGACATGAAAGCCAAGTGACCCGGCTAGAGATCTTGGAAACAGACATGCTGGCCTGAATTAGGGACAAGGCCATCCATCCTCGTTCAAGATATTCCTCGGATTTCCTCACTCCACAATCCTTCTGTTCTTTTCTGCTCTAAACTGGCACCCCCTGACCGGGCGATCTACCAATCATCTGTCCATCAGCCCGGGTACCTTGCCTCTCAGGACGGTGTGATGTGCGGGAAGGGGAGGCGGGCCAAGACGTAGAATGTAGCGAGTACGTCTCCCTATGCTGATTTATGCCAGCGGTACAGCGTGCCGTGGTGTTGCGGAGGCAGGGGTCCAATTTGCATCGTGCTGGCCGAGGCATGTAGGTCGGGGTCCACGTCTCTTGGCTGCCGGAATGGCGTCGCGTGTGTTCCGTCAGGTGTTCGTGTTTGTCAGTCAAGACGAGCTAGACTCTTCACTTTTCTCCTCCATTGTCCTCAGCTCACGGTCTAGAACCGACCTCGATGGGCACGAGATCGTCTGATGGCTAGAAGTCGGTCTTTCCGTCAGTTCACCATCATCAACTTGCCACTTCGATGTTGTCGTTGCTGCTCAACACCGCTGACTTGATAGCTTTTCGAACTTTGACCGCGAGAAAACCGAAACAACATTGCGAGACTGTCACGAGATAACTCTTACAGCACGATGTCTCCTCGTTCGAAATCCAACATATCAAACTGCCGCGATAAGTTGGGTTCTCCATTGACTTCGAACACGAAATCAAATCGCATTTGATCGTCCACTTGGTTCCGCCCGCCTACGAGGATACTCTCGACAACATGTTTGAAGATTTCAACAAAGAGGTAACACTTCGTGGTCTTCTTTCTTTCAACACTTCAATCAACTTTCATCATCGATGGTCGAATCCCAGCACCACGAGAAATGGCAAGCTTTGTGAGGGCCAAACGGAGTAGTTTTGCTCCAACCTGAGCAGCTATGTTCCTCCCTCTGTACTTACTGAGTATATCCAGCCCAATCGTGCTTAGAAAGACGCTATTATTTCATTGTTCCATGTTTCTGCTAACAGTGATGGTCGTGTTCGAAAACTGGAAATCCTACCCCTGATTCTCCTCTCTCTCTGGTATAGCATGCTGACTTGAGGTGGAGCAGCCAGACTGATCCGTACATTCTCGAATGCCCCTCGAATCAACCTTCTTCAAACGTTACGCGGCGTTTTTGCTCTCTTCTCTCATCAGTAAGGGAATCCATCGACACTTGCCTACCACGAACCGAAAGGGGTGCTGTGAAACCGTACCTGAGAGCACTGTCTTGATCTACGGGTTATTTGTTTGCTTAATTAACTTGCTAGGCTTCTCAATTGTTGGCTAGCTAGCGATTGCCATTCGACACAAGATCCTTGGAATTCCCGAATTCAATCTCTCACCTTGCCTGCTTAGGTCCTTTCCAGGCGACTGCAATAACCAAGCATACCTCGACCGAAACAAAAGCCTAAGAAGCCTGAAAAATTCTTGTCACTGCAGGCCATCAACAAGGACTTCAGCCCCCATACGAACACGAAGAAACTCCTACATACATACCTACATTGCAATTTGACCCTTTCCGTATAAAGAACACCCGTACCCATGCTATTTCTGAGCCCGGCTTGCCATGGAAGGGAACACTTTGGCTAGGTGTTTCTCCTGTGACCTAGACGGCACAATATGCAAGGTATCCCTGTGCTGCAACGCATTCGTGGTCGATAATCAAAACCAAAATCATCCCCTTCCAATAGTGCATTTCTTCATTTCGTTTATATCTCATTTTTCATCTCGCATCTGTACGAATCCTTCAGTCGACATTCCCCCTTAGGTCACTTCCACGTTGTGCTTACGACCTGCGTTATGATTCTTTTCTTTTCTTTTCTTTTCATTTTTTTTTTTCTTTTGCAGCCTTTTGATGTTCCACTTAGACTTTGATGCTGGATAGAAACTCGAAGTACGCTGAATGTCCAAAGCCATACCAACTTCAGTCCATCACTGACTGCCTACCTACGTTCTCTAGTCTCATTGCTTTTCATCGTCCCCTCTTCACTTTTTGCTTTTGCAGAGCTTACTCTACACCTCGAGAAAGATAATGTGGTCCCTTGAAAGAAAATGGCAGCTCACTAGCGGGTGTTTCATCACCGAAGAGTTCGATGCTTCCGAAGTACAATTGGCCCCAATGACGCGTCGACGAACCGTCTGTGACGACGTATCGAACGAGAAGTCATTGTGCAGTTCATACTCCTCAGCAACGTCATTTCATCAATGCTTCGAGGCTACAGTGACTTGGCCAGTTGTGGGATCTTGAAGAAAGATGTGCTCCGCATCGCCCACTGAGAGGATACTCTGTTGACGATCTCACTTTGTTTCCCTAGCTGTCTCGCAGTGCTCGTACCCCAAACGAAACCATTCCCGCGGGCGAGACGACCGCACTCCTCCAACTCGACACGAACCAACGTAGGGGCGCAGCAGATGATTGCACTGGCTTTGAGAGTTTAGTCAGTCCAACTGTCAGGAATGGTCTCACATACGATACATTTCCATTTGGTCCTAGCATTTTATTGCTCTGACCGTCTTGTAATGGCGAAGATGGCGTTGACCATGTCAGGTGAAAACGCAGCTAGGCAGATTGTTGGTTCTCTATGGCGTACCACAACCTTGCCTCAGCCGTTGGACTCCGTGCCAATAAGCCACAGAAGTTTTCTACGATGTTGGGAAACTAACGTCGAAGTCGGTCGCGGAGTTGAGGGGCCGAGATGTGAAGATGCCGCTGGCAGACCAGACCTGGCAAAGCAGTGGTGTAAACCAACTAACGTTGGAGAAGACAGTCATGCTCTCTTCGCGGCGTTGCTACCGCTGCTGCTTCTTTATTTATTTTTTTCTCCGAGGAGAAAAAGATAAGGTTAAGAGATCATGCGAGGAAAGTTGGAGTAGAAGGTCCCTTACAAACGGAACCAACGCCTACGATTGACTTACACAATGCTTTTATGTTCCCTGAAGCAGGCGAACACCTCTGCTTCCACGCCAAACGAGGCAACTTCATGGGGGTATTTCGTCGTGTGAAATGCCGGGCTATTTTATTTGGACTGCCAAACGCTTGGCTAAGTATGCTTTTTTTTTTTTTTTGGTTCTTTGAAATTCAGTATGTCGATATTGAACGAGTTTGCCCAGTTGGATTGACTTGCCGGCAGTAACCTGCCTACAGCCTGTGCCCGGGTCGTAGAAGCGAGACGAAGGTCCTTGCTACACTGCAATTCTGATGGGATGGCACAGTTGACGTGGTGTTGACTGGTCTGGTTCGCTCATAGGAAGTTGCAATTGAGTGGACAGTCACGCGAGTTACAAACTATTTTTCCCGCAAAACCCATTTGTTCGTCCTTGGAGATGTTGTTTTCAGACCCAAATGCAGTCTCGCAACTATCCTATACCATGTAGGTAGTGGACCACCAACTCGGCAAGGGTCTCTCCGATTACAGCCCGTCAAAGCGCCTAGTTTTGTCAAAGAGGTCCTGTAAGTCGTCTTCCATCATGCTGAAGTATCACCGATGAGTTGGATAAATCCTAACATGGTCATCCAGTTTCTACTCATGAATTGGAAGATTTAGCAAACCCCTGCAATCGCGAAAACTATCCCATGTTGTCTCTCTTTCTAAAGGCGTCTATGCAGTCTCAATGACGCTGCACAATGCTGAAAAAGCTAGTTTATTGATTGTCTTGAATACATGTTACTTGGGTGTTTGGAATTTTGCCGAGCGCTAGGGTTTGATGTCACGATTGACCAAGGGGTCAGACCAAACATAATCATGTCGCGTCACATTGATGATAGCGGACGTTAGCCCCTCTTTGGAGAGCCACCTTCGGAATTCGCGGTGTTGGTTGCATTGCCCAGGCAATACGGCATGGAAACCCGCCTTGGCAGCTTGAGTCTCGGATCTGCCTAATAAGAGTGGGTTCGGCCCTACTACAGAATCCTCTGGGACATTCATCGATAAAGATTGCTCATTTTTAAGAAAGCCAACTACTTACGTGTCGATTGTTGTTCTTCCCCATTTGAGCTGTCCAAGTCACGCTCATCACATACCAAAACCACCTAAACTACTTCCACATCGAGCCATGGCGGACACTAAGCCTCCACCGAAAGCTGGCGATGCCGGCGTGCTTATGGGTCTTCTGTCCACTTCTTTCGTGGCATGGCTACTCATTGGAGCCTTGGCTCATTGCGACGATTCTTTCATGCCAGTTGAGACGGCTTGGATTCTCACTGCATCGCTATCCTTCATACTTGCAGTTTGCCTCATCTTGTCGACTGCCGAGTGTCCAACTTCGACGCACTCGCAAGGTGCTGCGTATTACACTGCTGCGATCATGGGGTTTGGCGTAAGCACAATCTACGCACTCACCTCAAATGGTTGGTATCATAATCAACGACGTGTCTTCTGGTCTCTGAGTGGGCTTTTCGGTGGAATATTTCTAGAGGCATCAACTGGCTTCTTCTCTAGCTGTGCTCGTCGGTTGCAAGCCTCCATGATTAATTCAGAATCAGTCACTGGGCTATCAGGAGCTGCCAAAAACACTGAAGCAGAAAAGTGTGTCGAGGCAACTTGAAACAACCCCTGAATCTTCGTCTATTACATTTGCAAGCACAAGATGGGTCTTGCTTGCGGGTTAGAATCGGTGAGGGCAATAGCATTTCGAACAAAGTCTTTGAGGTGCTTGGTATGGTCATGAAAGAGATTACTTATCAAGTCATCAACGACTGTGCTTTCATTGTGGTAGGAAGGGTAGCAAAACATTGAAGAGGGGTCAATGTGGCTCTTGAGCCGTCTTTTATGTCGAGATGAAGAATGACCAAGTTACCTCGTCCATATTAAGTTTCAGAGGAGTCCTGGATCATCATGAACCAAAATCGTCATTAAGAGGTATTAGGTACAAACAGGATCAAGTTTCAAGGTTCCTATGATCGATACTCTGCGTGGCAATACTGGTCTCTCGTTCTCTAAAGTTTTAATCAAGCACATATCCAAGTAAAAGTGAAAGTGACACGAATATGCACTGTTCAATTCTATTCATTGCGCTGGGGAAGGATCTACCTTGAGGCATCTATGGACGAATGTCTGGGCCACTGGGCTTTTGTCTGGAGACTTACCAGAAGATGGCGCTCTGCGGCTGTGAGTCCCCATCCTCACCTTTACTCACATTCTTCTTCCCGGTTCTGCTGATATCTTTTCAGACACTTTAAAGACTTTAAAATGCCAGTATCATCGCCTGGCATCTTGAGGAACACCTTCATCGTAAGCGATAACGAATGCATCCCTGAGGGACTTTGGAGATATCCCGGCGGCCCGTCTGCTGAGACCTTCTAGGTTTGGGCATACGATGCCGACTGGAAGCCTGCTTCAGTAGAAGTTTCTGTTCTTGATGGAGAGGAGTACCGAGGTCGCGTCAAGGTGCCAATCTACTGCCTCGATGCGTGGTTTTATGCTGCGTGTTTTTAGGGCGTCGGTCTGAGGGACATGTGGCTCAAAGCACAGACTCAACGCTCAAAGTGGTGAATCTGCTGCTCCAAACCGATAGAAAATTGGGATCACGAGTCTTATATTTGAGCTCAGCCCGGGCAGTAATTCCGACTATTGATTAAACCAATGGGTTTCTGTCTATTAAAGACTCTCGAAGTATGCTTAATCTATACGCCTGACGGCTCTCGTCACACAGTTGCCGTCAGTATTGATGAATCATCCGTAGATACTTTTCGGGATCGTAAGGCTGCTCGTTGATTTTAAGAAAGATTCTTCAAGTCAGAGAGTGCGTTTTTTCAAACAATCACATACACCTGATTGAATAAATGGAGACAAACAACTTGCAGCGTCAAGCTTCGTCCTCTTTATCATCCACCCAATCACGAGGTAGATTTTCCTCCGTCCAGTCTTCAAGTACTTTAGCTTTCCATTGATTCCATTCTTCATCTCCGTAACCGAATGCTTCTCTGAGACCTAGAAAGAGCTGATCGAAAACTGGTTTGTCTGAAGGACTCTCAGGGCCCATAGCGAAGTTGAACCTCTGGATCCTACGACCATTCACCAGGTGATTGGCAATGTCTTTTCTACCCCGTTCTCGGAGGATCTCAAAAAACCGCAATTCGTCGGGAGACAACGTGTTAGACCCTTCGTAGAACGCAGCTACCGGCCACATCATCAACGGAGAGGAAAATGCCTCCTCTGGTGAAGCCGTACTTGTCCACTCCCAGTCTATAATTCCAACAATGTCGAAGTTTTCATTAATCAAAATATGGTCGCCCTTGTCATCCGGATGTTTTAAGTAAAATTGGTTCTTTGATGAAGCATCTTCCCAAAGGCTATCAACTAGATCCAAGCGTAATCGATGCGCCAGATATACGTCCAAATGATGACAAGAAGCTATTTCACCGCTTGCTATCATTTTTAGATAGCGCTCAACTATAGCACGAGACCCCGCTAGTGAGGACGAGAAGGGGCCGAGGGGCCCTTCGGCACCAAGCCGATATGTCGCAGGTTGTGCAAGGCCGCGCAAATCAAACCCAGAAGCATCGTCATTAGATGGAGTCAAAGATCCCATCAGCCTAAAAGGATGCTTTTCGATCTCAAGGAACACGTCTGCTAGCTGTTGCATGATCTTTTCTTTTTGTGCTGAAGTTACTGCCCTCCAGTCTAGAGGGAGACCGTCAAGCCTCCCCATTAGAATATAGCCAGCTCCAATTTGGCTCGCAGGGTCAGATTCACAAGCCCAGTCGAAAACTTCGGGTACAGGTATACGAGTGTGCCGTTTGAGGTAGGTCATTGTAGCCGCTTCGCTTCGTAGAATGAAATCCCGGACTTCCTGTGGAGGCGACGTTGTCTTGGTAATGTGAAAGCGTGCGAGCCAGGTAACTCCGTCCTGAAAGTGGATTTCCGTGTGACAGTTTTGGTTCCCCATCATCGCGGACATCGTTTTGCGTGACAATTCTATGGTGCACGGAACACCGTCTCTAAGCATCGATGCGCGGGAACGCAACTTGGCTACATCTATCCGATGGCAAAGCTCTTCTATATGGCGAGCTTCCGCTGCTGAGTATTTATAGGCGAACATATCCCAGTCGGACTAAATCGAACATCAGCAAGACTGTGATATACCGAAAGGTGAATTACTGACATCCGGCTCTGGGCAATCATGCCATGGCCCCCTGAGATGAGTGCCACAAAGATGTCTGTCGCACAGCAAGCAGCATCCACCTCGATGTACAGCCGGTTTTCCACATCCGTCGAAATCGCATGTCCACAGCGGCATCTCGGTATTGAAAAAACTTGGTTAATTCGGGACCAGTGCAGCACTGTTCCTGACATAACATCGCCTGTCGTATTGATGATATATTCCCTAGTGTGTTTAAGGGAGAGTTCAACAGGCAGCAACCCTTTCGTCGAGTAAGGCTATTGGTGGTCCACGCTTTGTCTTACAATACCAGCCTCCTATTTCTGCTTAATACCGCAATGGGAAATTGACCGTTAGATGACTGCAGAGACGTTGATTGAATCTAAGTCAAACTAAAAGTGTTTGCCAATTATGCAGAGATGGAAAAGTGGCAGTAGACTTTGACGAACCAATAGACTCCAAGCACAGTGGTTAGGAGTTCTAAAGGGATCCATAACTGGTACATTCCATGAAGCAAAGAAGCGAGTAGCGTATAGTCGCGCTGCGCTTTTTGCATATCTATCAAGCTCTAGTTGGGTTTGAGAAAGTCCGACACAATGGTAGCCGGCCATGCCAGCTAATGGCGAAGTACCTTGCGGTTTAAGATGATGAGTATGTATTACGTTCCATGGGAGACTGAAATCGTGGAGGGAAAACCACGGCTAGGGTTTCCACCTCAGAGGTTACGAGACAATGTCGCTTGGTGTCGTGCTCAAGATATAGCTGTACTGCCTTGGCCAGAACGGGAAACTACAACTTAAAATGGGCAGGTCAGGGACTGAGACGGATGTAAACAGTCATTCTAAGTCTAGGTAATCGTTTTGTTGAATGAAACTGATAATCTAGGATGCAAGTAGGGAGAATGCAGTTGCGATGCTCATCTGATTCGGAAGCAGGATGGAACGGTCTGATTGAGTATGTTTGACTACATGGCAGGCTATGAAATCATCTCTGCAGTTGCATCTTCTTTGCATACCCAGTAGTATGTTTTACGTGCTCTGGTTGAGTCGAGTCAACTTGGCGAAAAGGATTGCGAAAGATCAAGGGCCGTATCTCCATTACCTCTACGCTCACGGAATAAATATCTGCCACATGAGTATGCGTTTTTGTGTTCCTGCCAAGCTCCATTCAATAAGTTATCACACCGCCGTTGCGGCTCGCTCGCAGACAATTGCCAAGAGCCTGAAACTCCTGACGAATGCTCCTTGTGTCTTGAAATAAGCATTCCAGCCAGAAGGGTGGAGTTTATGAAAGGAACAAAGCAGGGATTCTTACAAGGAAACCCGGATTTCTTTCTTCTATGTCATGAGGCTGGTTCGAAAAGCAACTTTACTGGGTCTACATTTCTCATACACTAACCGGGGATAGTTACACCAACGTTCCTTTTCTCAGATTGTATAATTAAAGGATTACCATTCCTTCATATTGCTGACATACTTTCAAATTCATCATGCTGGTTTTGAGTAATTACGTCGGTAATACCGTTTCCGTGCTGATTTGAAAGTGGCTCGTGAGGAACAGTTTTGCAGAAGGCTTAGTATCACTCGAAGTTGAGGGTTAGGGTTAAAATCACAAGGTTACTTTTAAGGGAAATTAAAACTTGATGCTGCAATGGGAAAGAGTGTTTATGAAGCTGACCTAATACTGTGCTCTCGTCGACTATCAATTGTGCGCTGTGGCAATGGCTGGCTATGTCCCCATGAAGATGACCAGGGTCGATGTTCATGTAGAGAGCGTATCCCTAACCCTGAGAAATATACTAACCAGCTCCTGCCTAATTTTCAGGGGGTTTGCAAAGATCACTTGAATTTCTTTCATCATAAGCTCTCTAGGTTGAAACTGCCCCTGTAGCCTTGCTGCTTGCTTCATCCATTACTTGTCCCACAAAATTATTCATAGCACCCCTTATCTCTCTCCGCCCGCTGCTTAGCTCCAATCTATATGCTGGCGTATTTTCTTCTTTCATTATCTTTCTAGATCACCTTTGGCTTCTCTTGTTCGTTGTCTATGACATGAAGACTTAGTCGATCCACTGTTGAGTCATTAGCCTGGAGACCCAGATCTGCAGGAACAAGCGGTATGTTCATCAAATGCAATGGTTGGTGTCGGACTACTTTTCTTTGACTCTAACCAATTCTGGCCCTCAATGCAGATTGGTAGCCTATTTATCTTGGCGAACCACTCCCGCCTAGTTTTGCCTGCCTGGGTAATGTCACTTCTTGGTGCTTGGCTGTTTTCAACGGGCTGTCTCCTTCCCTCACCGTACCTATTAACAGATGCAATAAAGACACAAGAAATGTTGTTTTTAATTAAGAAGAAAGATGACTTAATGTTTCATTAAGGCTTAATTTAGTATGTAACAGCCAACATTTAGTTACCTAGAGCCCGTTCGCTGGCTGGTTCCAAGGGGCTTTTTACTTTATTCCTTTACCGACATACGGATACTGTCAAGACAAAATTAGTAATGGAAATAACTATGGACTTCTTCAAAAGGTATCGAAATAGCACATGCAGAGTTATGACGGGACTGCACCGTAACCGATTGGCAAGTAAAAGTCGCCCTCCGTAACTCCAAATATTACTATGACTGACTGGCTTTCGTAAACATCTCAACACGAGGGCATCCAACCAAAGACCAAAGACCAAAGACCATCAATCAATCGTTCGTCCTAAACTTGACTCGACTGGCCATAGCAAACATCAGGCTATTCGTCGACGCAGCCTACCTTCCACTTTCTTCTCTCTCCCCAGCGTCGATCAGGGTTCGTCTCACCGGGGAATCTCGGAAGCGGCGCCGGCCCCTGCACAGTGAACCCCCCGTCCCCTGGAAGCCATTGGCGCGCGACATGCAATGGCACTCACTGGACCTCGCATAGCGTGTAAAAGCTCACCGCCGTAGGGTGCTTGCTGTAGGGCGGGAACCACAACACCACCCAAGGCATGGCATCCATGGATCGCAGGGCGCACTATGGGATGACTTCCGCCGTCTCATTGGCCCCCCGGCCGTCCTGTCCTAGTCTTCTTACGGCGTCCCTTGCAGTTGCAGTGCTGCAGATGATATCGCGTCTCTGGCTGGAATAAGCAGGCAGTCAGAGGCAGGCAGACGCAGAGGACAGCCAAAAAAAAAAAAAAAAAAAAAAAAAAAAAAAAAAAAAAAGGCGTCAATCCCCATCATCTCACTACCACAGTGTAAAACGCATGCGTGCCGCGGCGTTGTTGGGCATGCATCTCGCCACCGCTTCCACCGTCAACGGCCGCCAACGGGCGGAGAAATAAGGGTATCCGTGGTTACCTTGGGGTTAGCTTGACAGAAAACCGGCATTTCATCAGGTGATATCCCGCTCTGTGTCTCTGTGTAACACGGGCTGCCCCGTTTCGTCTCGTCAATTGTACTACCAAGCAACTACAATGACTTTGCTTTACCTCCTCTCCCATGATGTGTCGCCTAATGGCGAGTGCGCAGTACAAAAGCGGTGGTGGCCTTGGTACAGGATACTTTTGTGCAGTGCAGTAGTAGTAGTAGTAGTGTACTGCTGGTGCTGGAGATGCCCTCCCCCAAAAACAAGAAAAATACGAAATCATGTCCAAACATTAACCAAGGCTATTCACCACCCTCCCACAACACCCAAGAATTTCCACCTTCATCAATTGACATTTGTGTGTCATCGTTCCCTAAAAATATTATCCCAATGCATTGCCTCCCAGTAAACAGAAAAAATCAAGCCCCAATGTTTGCAAATAAAAGCCCTTGCCGTAGCCCATCTCGTGTATGGTCATAAAAGCCTGAACTGACCAGACGCCGCGGAGGACCGGGTAACGATCCGATTGCCCGGAACCCTGAAAAGAAGTCCCCTTGACCGGTCTATCAAACTTGGACGGGACTTTCGGAGGAGGAAAAAAATAAAAGAGAGTCTGAGCGAGAGAACTTTTTTTTTTTTTTTTTTTTTTTGCCGCCTCCCCCAAAAAACAAAACTTCTTTTTTTTTGTAAAAGCTCACGATTGCCGTCCGTTGGTTTGTGGGCGGCTGCTGTGCCCTTGCGAGTTTCGGTCTTCTTTCTCATTCGACGAGGAGTCGTCGTCGTCGTCGAGCTGCAAAGGGTCGTCTTCCAGGTCCGAAAACTCGCTGCCGCGACCCTTTTTGCTCCTGTCCGGGTTGGACTCGTGCCGCCCGCTCACGCAGCCCGGCCTGTTGCCCAAGGCGTGGCAACAACACCATCGGAACGCCTCCGGGTGCCTGGCGCGGATCGGCTCCGTGTCCAGGTCATACAGCAACATGTCTCCCGGCAAACGTTCGATGGCAGTTTCATCCATGAGCTCCATCTCGCCTGTTACGGAGTGACATACCAGTCATAGGTTAGTTCCCTCTGTACGGGGGGTTGGAAAATGGAAGACTAGATGATGACGGGACAAGGCAGGTTTTTATTGTTTTGTTGGGGGGGGGGGGGGAGAAGCTTACCTGAATGGTACCAACAAGCGCCGAATTGGTTTTCCTCCTCGGTAAAGATGCCGTCGCATTGAACGCAGATTTTAGGCTCGCCGCCGGTAGCCTTTCTCTTTAGTGAGGTCGCCATGGAGTTTGGACTTTTTACGGCGTCTTGACCGCGAATATCGGCCTGGAAGCGGAGCAGTCGGTCGAACTGGCGGAGCGCCTGGGCCCGTACGCGTTGATCTTCGCACAGTGCCACGAGTATAGCACGAGCGACGTGGGCTGGGGCCTGAGCGAGACCGTCGACGTCGGGGCTGAAGAGCAGTGGTGGCGGTTGGTCAACTGTTGTAGTGGAAGATGCGAAATCCATTGCCGTCTCCTTTGGAGTTGGAGGTTTCTAGGGTGTGGGAGATATTTGAGGCTCCCTCGACTTTGGGGGAGGGTATTTCTGGGTTCTGGGTTCAGTCGCCGGAAGCCCTTCCCCGGATGTGTCAGCTCACGGATGCATTAGCAAAAAAAGGTGTCTTCAAGGGGGGTGGAGGCGTTGGGGATAACGGATGGTCGGCCGCGTCCGAGGCAGGACAAGGGAAGGGTGTGGTAAAGGTGTGGGAAGGGGGGGGGACGGAACCGGGGGGATACGTTTGGCTGGAATGGCAAGCAACAAGTGCAAAGCAAATAAGAAGAGGAGGAAGAGGAGGAAGAGGAGGATGAGTACGTGGAAGCGGAGGAGGAGACGTGGACATTTCCCAGACGAACCCGTCTACCGATTTACGACGTGAGATACGGACGCGGGCCCTCTGCCCTTTTTTTTTTTCTTCCCTCTGCCGGCCAACTAGGCGAGACCAACAAAAGACTATGATGGGTCTGCTTAGAAGGGGATGAAAAGGCAGGCTAGAGACGGGCTGGCTGAGGTGAGTGGTGAGGTGAGGTGACGAGACGACATGGAGGAGGGGGAGGGGGGGCCCGGCCGGGGGGAGAGAATCACACAGCTCCAGCGTTCCATGGTGGCAGCATGTGCATTGCCGGGACGGCGATGGTGTGTGGTGTGGGTGACCGGTCATGACCTCACGAAACGCGAGAGAAGCGTGGCAGCAAGGCAGAAAAAAAGAGGATGAGTATTGATTGTATGGAATATGGGAACCCCCCCCCCCCCCCCCGGCAAGAGTCGACGCTGCTGGGCACTGTCTATTTACTTAGTATGCAGCAATATACTACTCATCAGGGCGGTTCTTTTGCTGCAAGGTGCCCGTTTAAGCAACCAGGAAGGGATCCAGGGCCGGCTCGTGACCACTCAGGAATTTCTGTCATATTTTCCAAAAAGGCGACGGAGACTGTCGAGGCGACAGATTTGTTACGGATGCCTCTGCTCGCACTTCTTTCTTTCTGCCCAGCCTGCCATTGACATGCCTTACCCGTATCCGTACTTGTTTTGTACAGAGTCACCATGTTGCCCATACCGTCGTCAGCCCATGCCATGCCAGCCAGGAGACCTCTGCCATGCCCATCAATGTCTCGCAGATCCGATGAGTTGGTGGTGAGCCCTGTCAGCAAATCACGGCTCTTCGGGGATCACGATGGGCCATCCAAACTGGAGCAGATGGACACACCAGTCCTATTTCTGCCCAGTCCTTGATTCTAGGTCCCTGATTTTTTAGGACCAGAACCTGGCTGTGTGTGTGAACTGGACCCGGAAATGGAACGAATGGGTGCGCAAGGTGTCATGTAGTGTATGCTGATGCAAATGCAGGCACCGATTGCTGTGGACTCAGTGTCGTAAGGGAACTGGGGGGTGTGAGTGAAGGGGAGGAGATTTGCCTTTGGAGATGAGAGATTGGCGGGGGGGAGGAGAAGCAAAATTAGGGCTGCCGAGACTAGGTGGATGGAGATTATTGGGGGAGAGGGGGGGGGGGGGGGGGTGGGATGTGGCAAGCAAGCGCAAAGCGCGCGTAGCGACGGGAAATTCGCTTTTGGCGGTTTGTCCAGTCATCATCATTCATTTACGTCCAGAACCCGATTCAAACTGGGGCAGACGCCAAACCCAATAACGCCAAATGCCAGGATGAGAGGGGGGACCGATGAAATGTCTTTGATGGGCGTTAGACACCGCCAGGGGGGGGGGGGGGCCAGTTTCTCCATATCCCGTGTCAACACCAACGCCAGGAACAGTTACGACTGCTACGACGCAGTACTAGTAGTACGACAACATCTCAACACTAATAACTAGTCCATCGTGAACAAAAAGCCAGTCCATCGCATAGTACCAGCAGCTCGGTCGACCGGCTTCCTCCCCGGGATCTGGTGCTGTATGCGACCATCCATATTAGATAGTGAGCGCCCACCCTTGCGGGCCGATCCTGTCTTGGCTATTTGGTCTTTAAATCAGCCTTGGGGCCCCCCCGTTGCTTTTGACCTTCAAAACTGTTGGACTGAAGCGATTCGTCAAGGACCGAGCAGGGTCCTAACAAACAACTGGAAAAAGAAACGACAAACGCCACACCGAGTTGCCCGAGGGACTTTCGGTGAGGGCTAATTCCCAATCGCGCAACTCTCCCCGTGCATCCGTTGGTAACGCTGCTGCTTCCTGCTGTCTCAAATAAGGCGCAAACCGGGTTGACCAGGTCGCTAGTTGACTCACTTGGCGAAGAAAGGGGAAGAGGCATCATGTTATTACAAGGAAGATCAGGCCAAGAAGACGTCAATGTTGAGTTGAAGTCTGCCGAACGGGAGGTTCCCTGCCCAGAGCCTGGCAACTCACATCAAGCCGTGGGCCAACCGAGCTTCGCCTGGAGAGGATTCGACAACTCCTAATGCTGCCTTCTTCTGCATTGCCGAATCGAATGGCATCGGGAGCCTGGAATGTCAGACGACGGAATCTGTGTTTCGCAGCGGTCTGATTGCGTCTCGCTCGGAGATAAAGTCCTTCTGGGGAATAATACCGGCCAAGCTGCGACTAAATGATGATGCAGTTGATATTCAGCAGGGTTGTCAATGGCGCAGTACCTTGGACGAAGGATTGAAAAGAGAGAGAGAGAGAGGGAGAAAAGGCGTGTAAGCTGGACCAAGAGAACCCGAATACACGTCCTCGGAGTTCCCTCCCCGTTCCAGTCTCAGATAATTGGTAAGCTAGAAAAGAGAGCCAGGGGAAGGGGGAGGGGGCTAATCAGTAGTTTGTGTTTTCCCACGATCATGTCCTCTAATCGTTCCGTCACTCCACTCGCCTCACCGCAGATCTTGTCGCTTTCCCACCCGAATGGACCCAAATTCTCACTATTGCAATCCCTAATGGCAGAAGCTGAAATTCGCCCATTTCCATCGCCCGTTGTTTGAGTCACGCCACTGCCCTTCCTCCGTCAGTTATCAGAAATTTGACCAGACGCCTCCTAAAATTCACGCCTGTACCTGGCACTGACGTTGGAAAAGGTTACTTCTGTACCGGCCCCCAATGTCTTGGAGTTGTCTTGGAGCTGTCTTGCAGCACAGCAAAGGGAGAGAGAGAGTTGGGTTTCTCTCGTTTTGGGTAGCGGAGGCAGCCTGGACAAATGTCTCACCACAAAAAATAAAATAAAAAAAAAGGCACAATTTTTTCCATACCAGCGGTGCGGCGTCCCGCTGAGCCGTTTTGTTCCTCGCCTGCAGCAACGTGGACCACCTCTCAACTACCTTAGTGCTGATAAACTTGTTAGTCCCGTCCACCACCTTTAACGGCGATGAACAGGGCACCTATTCGATAGGCGAGATGATTTAAATTGGCCGTCTGTCTTGTCTCACTAGTCTTATGCGACAGATTGAATAAGCGAGAAATAAAAGGGTATCCATCAAATGACGATCTAATCTTGTGTTACACGAGATCCAGCAAAGCGTCTTTTTTTCTTTCTTTGTGTAACCCGAGATTAGCGGTTGGCGAACCGTGGAGATGGATACAAACAAGAACACACTTGGTTCTAATTACAAAACAGATGCAATCCCGGCGCCGGTTCCTTTCGTCCTACATGGGACTATTCGGTCATCATCATTCGTCAAGACACTGCGGCCCAAATCTCGACCTCCTCGTCTCCGAATACTTGGAATCCCGCTGTCTCAAAGACGCAACCTCGGAAAAACAGGGTTCTCCAGCGCCAGCACAGTACCCAGTAAATTTTTTTTTTTAACCTTCTCCTCCCATCTCTTAAGCGACACCCGCACGTCATTCCAGCTAGAAACACTGCCACCCCCCGAAGGAACTCCCCCCCCCCCCCCAGGAACTCCCCCATGCTGACGGGCCCCCCAAAACTCCACATGTTCGTCTCCCTCTCCTCGGGTAGTCCCCGTCCCGAGGAAAGTATTCATTCCATCATCCCCATACCGGCTGAATCCTCCCTGAGGTTGATTCCACAGCAAACATATTCTTGTGACTATTTGTTTCATCTCGCCTTATCACCTGATGTCCCCTATGTATGTATGGGTATCTGTATCGAGGCATATTAAACGATGGCGCCAACTAGCGGGTTTGATGTTTCTCTGGGAGTGATATTTTATCGATCATGATTCTTGGCCCATTGTCACCGGTTCCCAAGATGAGCTTGGCTTCCATGTTATCTCAGTCACTGAGATTCCAGTGTCTGTGTCGCAAGCTCTTCCTTTTTTGTCAGATAACCCGCTATGACAGATGCGTAGCAAGGACTATCATGACGCTGTAGAAGCGAGCTCCTAAAAGTTCTCCGGTCATCAGACAAGAAGAGGAACATGGACATCGAGGGATAGCTAAAACCGCAAGTAAATCAAATTAGAATAGAACACTTAACAATTAACAAACATCATAGTTTGACAGGGCGCAAGCCGTTCACGTTACGAGTATTTACATTCATTAGTCAATCGTCAAGCCCAACTATCTAGTCTACGCGGGGCGGCGCAACGTGAATCTGCCAGAATTTCGTCGTCTCCTCCGGGATCCTCCTCTTCTGTTCCTCCGTCATAGTATCCTTCCCATACTCTTCATGCGTTACATCCTCAGATAGCACCCCCTTCCTGGTCCCATTCTTCAAAAACTCCAAAAACTCCACCGACACCCGAACGTACTCCCTCAACCCGTCATGAACATCAATCTTGGCCCCGGTAGTCCACCGTAAAAGAAGTGGTTCGATCAACGGCGCATCGGTAACGCTAGGGTGACTCGTCTTCAAACTCGTCAAAAACCAACTTGACCCCACTCTCTTGAGCACGTCTTTGACGATATCCTTGACGGTGTCAAAGTGCGGCCGCCCAAAGAAGACAGTAACCTTCTTCGACCACGAGTCGGAATGCACAACCAATATCGGCACGTCAATGTCCGCGTTGAGCCGTCCGCTGCTCTTGCCAGGGTCGAGAATGATTCCCCCCACAGCCGGATTCTTCTCGGAGGTTGCGCCTCTGAGAACCTGCAGTGCCCCGGTGGCTCCGAGGGAGTGACCTGCAATGACCGTCTGTGAAAAGTTGAGTCGGTTCTCCCACTGATCCAGGTCTTTTCCTTCTTTTCTTGCATTCGTCTTGTAAACCTCGACTCCCTTGCCCGCTTCCAGAGACCGCAAAACTGCAATGGTCTCCTCAATTTCGGCCTGTCGAAAGGCAAGTTGCTCAAACTTGAACTCATCATCCTCCATACCCTTTCCGCCTTCCAACTCCTTCTTGTTCAAATACATCACCCTCCTTTCCCCATTCGCAGTGGTGACAATCGACCCAGGACCGCTGCCGTCGCGGTGCTCTATCGCGGCAACCACAACACCAGAGCTCGCCAACTCTCCGCAGTAATGCGTATAATCGGTCCTCGAGCTAGCCTGTCCATGAGAGAGAACGACGACAGGAAACTTGTCCTTTGTCTCTTCGTTCAAAGGTAAGAGAGGGACGTCAACTTCTGCTGGGATGGTAATAGTTCCTGCGAGGGCCCACAACGCAAATGTGAAAATGGGCCTCGAGATGAAATTGTTAAAGTGCGCAGCGCGGGCGTAGCCTTCGGCCGTCAAACCGACCGGCTTGGGAATCCAACGGTGCTTTGGCCTTGCACTCTTCACTCCTTTCGTAGTCGGGTAGTAAAGCGAGAAAAGCACCGTCTCCAGTTCGAACGCGGGCTTCCCATCCTTGAAAACCAAATCGCTCGTCTTTCGTGGTGTCTGTACCGGGACTTCTACGTCAATGACTCCAACTCCATACCGTCCGGAGTAGTTTGGTAACTTGGATGCCAAAAGAGGCGACCGGGCGAGGATGCAATAAAGCACATAAAGGACAATCAACACCCAAAAAATGTACCCCAGCGCGAGTCGTGGTTTCAGTAGCGCAATTATTTTCTGTGCAACCGTCCTTCCCCAAGGTTGCGCCGTCCTCATCCATTTCGGCGTGCCCTCCATGTTCCTGGCGTTGGATGAAGCAGTCGTTGTGGTGATGGAATCGTCGAGAAGCGGCAGCGGAGAATCCGGATGTTCGAAGGTTTGCGGGTCGGCTAATGGTTCAAGCTCGACATCAATATCTCTGTATTCTAGAGGAGAGTAAGATACCATTCTTAAGAATGAAAAAAAAAATCACATTATCATGGGAATTTTATATGACGGAATGTGCTTCTCTCCGGATGGGTTCAAGTTCATGGTATGACGTTAACAAGGGGTACTAATTAAGAGGTCGCTGGTTCGGGTGAGGCGGCATTACGTCATCAGCCTGCTGTTTCCCCAGAACTACATTCCCGCCTTGGCATGGACTGATTTTTGGGTGACCTTTGTGTTTAAAATGAGAAATTTCAAGTATTTTATGTAAGCGTTGAATCGATTTAGCTAGGTTTGCTAGTTGGCTTGATTAGTAAACTGTGTCGAACTTGTTGACAGCGTTATGGATATGTCTGCATCTCCGGCTGTACTTTGACCACCATCTTCAAGATACTTGAACATTGCGGAACAAATAGAAATGGGACATTAAAGTCATTCTATTTGCAGCATCCACATTGACCAAACCATCTCTGGTTATCACAGCGAGGCCTGGTTGCCAGAGGCACTTGGCATCAAGTATCACAACCAGACCTCTGATCCTCATCCAGCTGCGTCAAGCCCAAGCTTCTTATTTTCGTATGGATAATAGATCTCTGGTGAGATGTTCGGAGAGCTCCATGGCAGAAGACTGTCTAAAAGTTACTGATAAGAAATGAAAAGATGGGCCTTACTCATTTATCGAGCCCCGTTCATTAACTTGGCCAGTCAAGCCCATTATCTACAATGCACCGCATGGTTCCCTGGTAACAAATATAGGTTGAGTTGATAGTACGCTGTATTCTCCCAATCGTACTGACTATTACCAGCATGTTGGCCGCACATGCGCCATTACTATCAAACACGACGCAACTATGACCAACATTGGAGTTGTAACCAACCTCCTTGTGGAAAGTATTCACTGTTCTTATAGCCTTCATCGAACATCAATAGAATCATCTTACCATTTACTGATCTTGATACAGGATAAAACAAGTCAATCAATGACGTCCTATATCGTGTCCGTGCCACGCACTATCGTACCCTTGCACTTACCGAGGCCCCTTTGGCGCTGATGAGTTGTTTCTCTTCTACAGTGTTAACAATGCCTGCAAGGGTTTCGACACGCTGGGACGAACACCGCATCCAGTCTGCCACGGGATAACCTGTTCCAACCAATCGCGTCTTCGTCCCTGAACTCCTTTAATCAAGGGCCATAATAAAAGACTGCCCTGGCCAGCTTTTATTCTCTCGACCCATCAAGCGGTTCATGGCATGCATCATAACCGACCTGGCCAGTCGCATCAACCGCAGCCGTGATCCACGAAAATGGCTGTGTTGCGGGTCAATGAACTATGAAGCCGATCATCCGCCGATTTGTTTTGCCATTTTCCATCCTACTGGGAAACTCGTAGGTCTCAAAAAGCGAGCTTTGAGATTTGATTGGGTGCTCAGAGGGTGAAACACGCCACGCTGAGACCAACTGCATCGCCCAACGTCCCTTATTCCCCATAACACCCTCGGCCGAGAAGCCGGTAGCTTGTTTGGCAATTCGCTTTCTCTTCCATCTTGGGATGAGTTTGAACCCCGGGGTGCCCCGCCGTCTGGAAAAGATTCCTGCGTCGGAGACCTTCACAAAGTCGTTGTTTTTCCAGTTTTGCCTCCGCTGCTTCTGCTGGTTTCTTCCTTGCAATTTCTGTCGCAAACAGCTCAGATGGTGATGAAACCGCCTCGGTTGGATGGAAACCCGCGATGGAGCTCCCGCGTCTAGATCCAGACCTCGGATTGACGCCTGTCATCGCAAGTAGCATATAAGTAGGCGCCGGGGCGCGTCACTCATAGCAAGTTACCTTCAACAGCTTAGCTTCAAACCATTTCTCTTTCTTCACTTAGCATTTCTCCTTCTACTTTTGACGAAATGGTTCCTTCTCCTGTCGTCGCTTTAGGCTTCCTTGGCGCCTTGCAGGGCAGCAGTCCGATCGTGCAACGGCAGACTACCGGTTGTGCAACGGGCGTGCACATAATTGTTGCTCGGGCCAGCACCGAGGATCCCGGCACTGGTGTTATTGGTGCGGTCGCGAACAAGATCCAAGCCCAGATTCCCGGGTCCGACATTGTGGCCGTCGACTACCCGGCGCAGCTTAACCCCTATGTCCCGTCCCAAAAGGCTGGCGTGACCGCTATGACGAAGCTGGTGCAGGATTACGCCACGCAGTGCCCACAGACGAAGATGGTGTTGATGGGATATTCGCAGGTAGGTTATGACGTTGCATCTTGAGCAGGAATGCAATGCTGATAGCCACACAAGGGAGCCCACGTCACGGCTGATGTGCTCTGTGGTACGAGCGAATCTGGCTTCGAGGCGACGCAGCCTCAAGCCGCCGATATTACGGATAAGGGTGTGTTTAGAGTGAACAATATCTTCAGTTATAGCATCTCTAATCTCGGAAACAGTATCTGCCGTCGTGCTTATGGGCGACCCCAGCCACGTTGCCGGCCAGCCATTCAACCAGGGCACCAGCCAAAAGGATGGAGTAAGGAAACCCAAGAGCATCGAGCAATGCGAAAAGAAAGTAATTGGTTGCTAATGGATGAAAACACAGGTCTTCCCAAGAAAGGATAATGCTGCATGCGGCGCGGTTGCCAACAAAATGACCTCGTTCTGCGACAGTGGCGACCCATTCTGCGACAACGGTGGCGATATTCAGGTCCATCTTGGATACGTGAAGAAGAACGGCGACGATGCCGTTAAATTCATCATGGATAAGGTTAACGCAGGCGGAGCTAAGCCCGGAAACTCGACTGCCGCATAATTTGAATACCTTGGGTTGCAATGACCGATACCTACCCTGTTATTATTCTTCTTCACTGCTGGCACAGACTTTTCCGCCTTTCATTCTGGCAGGGGTTTGCGCTTGGACAGGCTAACTAAGTACAAACACAATTTGCACAAAATTGATATCAGTAGAAATATTATATTCCCTTCAAGAACAAGCGATTATTTGAAGTGAAACTAAGCCAAAGGCATGCTTCTAAATGTTTCTTTATTTCATACACCCGCTGTGAGAAGCTGATGCGAGGAAGCCATATCAAGCCTCTACTACTTGAGCAGGAAGTGATGATTGATAAAATCAATGCAAAATATCTAAGAGGGCCTATTAGATAGTCGTTGAGATTGCCAGGGAGTCAGGTAGTCACGGATATCAAGGTCTCGGCATTATCAAAACCCAAGGTAGATCGGTTGCGTTTTCAGCGACGCGCTTGGCCGACGCAATAGAGATACACTTTGAGTGTCTTGCTGCTTAGTGTCTTCTTGGACATCTTTCAATGCCTTCCGCTTCTTTTCATACCAATATAGCTCTGCTTTTTAACTCTACAAAAAAAATGTTGCCGTCCCTGTCGACAGCAAGGGCGAGCTCACCAACATGGGAGCAAGTAACTTTTGATCGACCTACCTATTTGAGCAGGAGTATCGCCGGTGCACTCTATCGGAGAATCAGGAAGAATGCCTTCCTGTGAACTTTGACAAATAGCTCTCTTATTGAGAAGTGAACCGCTTGTGCTCTTAAGTATTTATAAGCTCGGTTTGATGCGTTGGGGACAAGTCAAGGAAGGCTTTCTAGGTGCTGTTTATACACACACTGGAATTATGTGGGCTCAACGGCAAGTTGTCTGTGGAAGCTTTTTCTTCAATCACCTAGCTTCGTGCCCTTATCTGTCAGTGGAAATCCCTTATTAGTGGTCATGGACAATGGTTCGGTATTTGACTTCGCCTTCCGGCCACTGGGCAGCCGGTGAAGCTCGAACCCTTCTAATCCATACTTTTCCTTAAGTATTTATACTGTATGCGCTTTAGCTTATAGAGGCCTGGCATTGAACCACGCCTCTGAGAAGATGATATGTGTGACGATAAGGCGGTCAGTACGAAGAGTTCGGCTTTCGAACCCTGACGGATGCAATATCATGATTCGCAGTGCTTATTGCGCTCATAACAAACTCCTTAGAACCTAATCATATTAAAACACTAAACACATTGGATTGGAGATCTTGGCGTTGGAGTCATAGCTTATTGAGGACAAAAGTTTCGCGACTGCTGTCCGCGGAGTCCGCTATTCTACGAAATTGCCTCTTGCAGGGGCGTTACTCCCCATACATATACGCTAATTCCAACACTTTTACACGTTGACTAGAGCAGGGGTGTTTCTCTTGATAGGAGGATAGCAGTCATGATTTGATAGAGGTTCAGCATACAGATATCATTCAATGACTCCATGATTAATAAGGAGATGTTGAGTGTCGAAGTTTTCTCTTGAATGGTGCAAAATTATTTCTGTCGGCGGGGGGTAGGTTGAATTGGTACCAGTACTTCGGCTTCATTGACTTCGACAAATACTTTCCGATTAGTGAGAGTTCGACGCAGAGCCGTGTTGAAAGCGTCATCTAGGAAGAATACATCGCCACCCTAAGAGAAATCCCAGCTCAACGAGACAGTGCGGACGAGCAAGGGCAAGCGTGGACATGACGCTAAGAGGACACATCTGTTGTTAATATTAGTGACTTAACTGCTAAAAATACTGTTTCTGGATGGCTTCCTAGGATCTAGAAGGGCTATTTGATAGAAACTTGTGGAATGATTACTGATTCTGGAGCTCTTGGCATTAGTATGAGAAGAACAGGGCTCTAAAGTCAATGGAAACATGTTTTTAAGAGAGAAAATACGAATAATAACGTACCCAACGATCATACGGACTCAGTATTAAAGTTTCTCGCATGGTGCACGTGATTGTAACATACGAGAAAGATGGAATGCAAGGGGCCGTTAACTTAGATGCCTTTTGGCTGACACTAAATAAGCCGCATATTGTCAAGTTTCGCCCGCGGAGCCCGTAGACACAGGCTCTAAGCGCCGGTACCTAAGCCCCACCATCGCAGATGTGAACGTTGACGGACTGCTCCGGTTAACAAAGCTCGGCAGCAGAGCGGGTGCGAAATGGACTCAGGTGGTCCGGGTAGCACAACCAGTCTGGTCACGCTTATAATACCGAAACGGGTAATACCTTTTCGCAGAGTTCAACAAGCGGACAAGGACTCGGGGCAGTGTCCGAATGACCGCAGCTACACAACATCAAACGCGGAGTTTCGTACAAACAACATGCGTCTATCATTTCTGTACACTCTCCGCTCCGTACCTAAGAACCGAGTAACTTTGCGCAGAAATATGCCAAGAGCCGACACTTGCCTTCGCCTTCATGGTAAGATCTTATTGAATGGTACCTCATACCAACAGCAACGTAATAAAGCATGCGCACATCGTCTTAAAAAAGACTTTAACGGTCTCAGTGTAGATTGAAGAAGTATATAATATGCCGGGTCTTCCATCATGAAAGCCCACTGCTTAATCAAGCACTCGATCAAAACCTCAGACAGCAGCACTCATCAACCCCAACACCATAATCACCCAGAATCATGGCTTCGACTCCCCACAAGACATTCTCTGGCAAGGTCATCGCCATCACCGGTGCTGCCAGTGGCATCGGTCGCGCCGTTACAGTCTACCTGGCAAACCGGGGGGCAACTCTAGCCATCTCTGACATTCAGAGCAACGCCTTGGCTCAGGTCGTCGAAGAAGTTTCCAAATCCAACCCCGGAATTAAGATCAAGGCTACAGTTGTTGACGTCACTAAATCCGACCAGGTTCAGACTTGGATTTCAAGGACAGCTCAGAAATTTGGACCTCTCGACGGCGCAGCTAATATTGCCGGAATCGCCGGCATTACAAAGGAGAGTTTTTGCTTACAAACTGATGCGGACTGGAAGTCCGTTCTAGATGTCAACTTGCTGGGGACAATGTATTCTCTCCGGGAAGAGCTGAAGCATCTCAAGGATGGCGGGTCCATTGTCAATACTTCAAGCGTTCTTGGCCTACGAAGCTCGCCTTTTCCAGGAGAAGCCGCATATGTTGCGAGCAAACATGCTGTGCTGGGGTTGACGCGAAACACGGCGAGGGAGTATGGACATAGGAACATCCGCATCAACTGTGTTAACCCGTACGTGTATTGTCGTTCCCTAAGGAAGAGTCACACTCTGTTCTTGAGGCTTGCTGACCGTGGAATTATAGAGGGGCGATTGACACCCCGATGATGCAGCAAGAGCCAGGACAGGAGGAGATGGATATGTCCGCCATCAATCCGCCAATCTCCCGCTTCGGTCGTCCTGAAGAGGTGGCTGCCGCCATTGGATTCCTTCTCGGTAATGAGTCTAGTTACATCTCAGGCGCAGCAATCGTTGTTGATGGCGGACTTATTTGTTAAGAATTCAGTGCCACTGTCCGTCATATAATTTCCAGTGCAGATGTGTTAGGAATAAGAAGTAGACTGTATTCGACCTTGCATACAAACAGACCCAAATTGGCATACTACATTCATCAGAATTGTGCATTGCTCTGAATGGCCGTAAATTTTCACTTTGAGACTCTTTTTCAGCTTGGCCCGGTCGCATGTATACCTCCCCGGTCCCGAAAACGGGGCCGTGGTGGATCCTTCCCCCGAGACCGATGCCTGTTGAGCGCCCGGTCGTCGTTCGCCGGTCGCTGGAGGGCAGCCGTCAATTCGGGTCCTATGTATCACTATACGAGGCAACTGAATCGTCCGTATGAAAAAGTATCGCTTAAATGTAAATTCAAAGTGTAAGCTGCATCCATATCCACTGCACTAAATCATACAGCGCCTGCAAACCAAGTCGCTACTCTTACATAACGCCGATATCCCCGTCGTCTTACATGCTCATGCATCATCTGCCGTCAATGCGTCGTTGAATTTCCTTCCATCAGTAGCTCATATCATTCATCCATCATCTTCTTGTTCAAAGAACACTCATGTGGTGGCAGCAGCAAGTCCACTCTCCACCAGGCTCCTGCTTCCAGACGCTGTTGCAAATTCCCTCGGTAGCAACGAGCTTGTTGCCCTTTTGTCGCCAGGCGGTAACGCGATACACGAGACTTGAGCTCATCAAGTCAATCTCGACGAACTCGGGGTCGTCCTGGATGCGGTAAGCCGTCCAGGGCTCCCAGTCATCCAAGTGCTCCTGGAGCGTGGGCTTCGATTTAGGGGAATAGATCTTGTCGCCGGGGTGCGATAGAACGGCCTCTTTGTCGAGGTACCTGCGCAAGGCCTTGGGCTTGCCGTCGCACATGGCACGCCAGAGGAGAGTCTCGGCCTCGATTGTGTCTTCCTTGTTGCGGGAGTAGATGGTTCCCTGCTTTGTCTCGTTTTCGTCGCCCATATTGATATAGTTTTGCTCGTTTGTTCGTTTGTGAGGTTGTTGTGGGTGTTCTTGTAGAATGGTACTTGGAAGGTTGTTTGTTGGACAGCAGGATTCAATGGTAAATCGACAGAGAGTAGTAGTGTGCGACTACACTTGGGGCCTCGATCACCTTTATGACATCGCCTGGAGCTCTGGCCCCCAGTGACGACTCTCCGTCCAAAAACAGGAAATCCCGGGTCTGATGTGGCGGTGGTGATTGGCTGGCATGTTGGTCAGGCCTTCGGCACACTGCACACCCCTTGACGTCACACTCAGCGGCGGGGCCCACGGCGCATTGCGGGGAATCATGTAACAGGGGTGGGAAGCAGGTTATTTCACAGCGTGGTGTTCTAGGCCTTCACCAAAAAGTCAGACTGTTTCTTTCTTATGTCTTTGCGAGTGTGCGACTCTGATGTAACAAGTGCACTGGCTGGCGGGGAACTCCCTGGCTGACACTTGGTCGCTTCTTTAGCGCTGGCGGGCGACGTTGTAGCCGGCTTAGCCCGCCAGATCGTGGGACCGTTTGACTTTGGCTTCGATCCAGCGGCTCCTGTCATGCCACCAATTTGACTTTTGGGGGGGCTAGGCCTGTTTGGCTAGACCAGGCCTTGTGGAAGCTTCTATGCCCGTCTCGGTGAATCCAGCCCTCGGTGCCAAACTTGGGTATTTTCACCATGTGCACCTGTTGTTCATGAGTACGGTGATGGAACGCAAGCCTCCCCTCGAAGTAAAACCGAAAGGACAACCCGAATTGGAACTAGGTGTCATATGAAGTGCCTTCTCTAATTCATTGATGTATATCCTTTTCTAACCTAGTATTGACCGTGGAAGAACAGTAATGTATCTTGGCTAGCTTACAGGGCTGAATGACGTCAGAATGGAATTCCTTATTCCGACACCGAGCAAGAATTGCGAATATGCCATGCAGAAACTTCCATGCCCAACTGGGGGCGCTGTAGTTGGACCTTCTTTCTATTTCGATGTTTGTTTAACCTTATTCTGTCTCTACTTGAGACCATATTTTCGTTGCCTTACCTTACTTCAAGTGTGAAATACCTGAGCCTCTGATGTTGATTATCAACTAGCAGGTAAGGTAGCCAACAAATGCTCTATTGTGACACTTTCTTTAGCTTCAAAAGTCTTAGCGTAGTTTATAGGCGTTTTCTCTTGTGAAGGAGCACGTCCTATGCGGTTTTACAAACTGCGTCCTGGAATGTGCCTAACAGAAGCATGGCAGCCCTACCGCTTCTCAGTCTGTCAAGGTGGCCTGGCATGAATAAACATGCATCTTAACGAGGCCGAGGCTCATCTTCACTCAGGTTTGATATGCTAAAGTATATATGTTGGCTCGGCCTACCCTCAAACGATTGTATAATTCCGCTTAGCTAGAGCTCTGAGAAGCAGCGTCTCGTACCTATAGATACGAAAAGACGAGGCATGAAGTCCTTGACAAGTGGTTGAGTGGCATATTTCAATCTTTTTTTGTTTTGAACACCAGTAAAATAACATGTACACTTTTCGACCTGTCTTCGACTCACATCACAATAGATGACGTCAAGACTGGAGAATGTGCGCTAAAACACCAATACTCGTAACCTTTGTGCGTCGTCCGCACTCATACAGACAATTGAGAAACACCATATTTGCAGCCTCGACAATTTGAACAATGGAAGACTGGCAAGAAACAGCACTTACAACAAGGCACATGCATAATAGGGTTGGCAAGTCGAAAGCCAATGCTACTCGGAAACGTCAAGGTGGGGCATTTGAAGTCAGAAAGACCTTTGGCAGATACGAAGTCAAATGCCCAAGTGTCCACAGAATCCAGAGCGGTAATGAATCAGCCAAGAACAGTAGAAAGCCACTGGAGCCAACCCTGGACATATTTCGACTCTCAGATGACGGTCGCGGACTGCTGGGGAGACTGTTCTTTCCTGGCGTCCTCGACGTTCTTCTCATCTTGACAGGGAGCAGAAAGACTCTCGAGGAGTTGGCCCTGAACTTTGAAGGCAGAGCTTCGGAAATCTCAGGCTCGAAGCTGAACGACGATCTTGAATCCCCAGAGCCGCAGAATGAGAGCCATTTCAGTGCAAACAGCGACGACGAGAGCAGCGATCATCCGGAAAAGATCGACGAGAATCTTAATCTGGACGCCGAAGAACGTGAACGGCAGAGATTCAACAACTTTGAAAAGAATAGCTTCCGCTCGCCCAAGTTCTGGTTTCAGTGGCAGGGGCAGGTAGAACACACTGCATCACCCAGTGATCAAAAAGAACAGGATGGAGGAAAGAAAGAGACCGGGAGAGGCTACTTGGTGTTTTCTGGAAACAACTGTGACTCATTCAAAGCTACCATAAGTTGCAATTCCCTTCAATGGAAAGATGTATCGTTTTCCGGCTGGAAGAAGGTTACCATGAGCGAGAGAGACGTCCCATTTGAGTGGGTGTGATAGTTTAAGAGGGTATTGATCCGGCATGTGGTCCAAGAATGAGTCAAAATGAGAGGTTCAGAACCTAACGGCAGTTGGGCAGTTGGGCAGTTGAGCGGCAATCGAGTTGTTGCTTATACCAAGTCATATGAAATTTGATCCATGTCGTTACTTAGCCGCAAGAGTGCATGTCGTGATTATGAATTGGCTGGTGTTATAAAGCAGTTACGCGAAGACTATTAGCTCTGATTACAAGGTGGACTCAGCCATAACTAGTTCAGGGAGGCATATACATTGTACTCTGCCTAAATGTTTTGCCGTCCTATGTTGTGCGCTTCTACGAAACCATGTCTGCCTTCTCAAATGGCATCAACAGCGAAACAAGCAGAACACAATGCAAAGCCCCCAGATATTTGTGCAGAGTAATACCTTAGTGAAGGCAGTCTCATGCTCGCGAAACCTTACAAGTCTAGCAACACAGAGCACCATCAATAACTATGGACGTTCCAGAGATAAACCGTGATTCATCTCCCAGGAGAAAGCCAACCAAAGACGCTACCTCTTCCGGCTGGCCCATCCGGGCAATCGGTGGGACAATTACTGGTTCGTCGGAAGGATTGGAACCCGGTGGCGCCTGCATCATCGGCGTATCGATTGCGCCTCTGTTGGACATGGTCAGAACAGACAGGCATCATCGGTTTAAGGGGAAAACGAACGGGTTAATGCAGTTGACGCGGATGTTCTTATGGCCATATTCTCTTGCCGCGTTCCTCGTAAGACCCAGAATGGCGTGTTTGCTGGCGACGTAGGCAGAATCTCCCATGAAAATGGAACTCCTCATGCCGAGAACGCTAGACGTATTAACAATGGAGCCTCCCTCTTCTAAATGCTTGAGCTCCTCCCGCAGGCAGAACATCGTGCCCGACAGGTTGATATCGAGAATCTTGTTCCAATGCTGGTCAGTCTCCTCCGCGAGGCGTGTTTGGTAAGATTGTCCCGTCCCGGCAATGTTAGCCGCACCATCGAGCCTGCCGAAGTCGCGCACCGTTTTCTCGATCCAATCGCGCACTTGGTCGGATTTGCTGACGTCGACAACTGTGGGTTCAACACGAATGTCGGCATTGGTGGCAGACAGTTCCGCAGCCAGCTGGGTCAAAGGACCGCTCTGGACGTCAGATATTGCCAACGAGGCCCCCCTTTGAGCTAGATAGACTGCAACAGCACGGCCTATGCCGCTGGCAGCGCCGGTGACGGCAATAACCTTGCTAGCGAATGGTTTTAGGGCAACTGTTTCCATGGCGATCGGAAGAAGCTTTAGAGAAGTTATTGTAAGAAATCGATATTGATTAAACGCTGCGGCATTGCAGTCGCAATTCTGTATTTATCTATGGGATATGCTTTGATTCATAAGCTATCCCCTCAAATACCATGCAGGGATTAGAAGGTAAGCACGCATGGCGTGTACACTACCTAGGATAGGATGGCAGGATGGTTCGACATACGCACGATGTGGATCTCTAGGCAACAGCGAATGGAAGTACCATAGATAGGTAGTGTAAGAGGCTGTTGGGTACAGAATGAAGAGGTCAGGTAGATGCTCCAAGGTGACTGCATTGATCACTGGCCTCGTAGTCTCTCGTGGATCAGGGGCCTTCATTTGTACTGGTTACACCACTGTATATCCCCAAATGCCAACTTTGTTCCAATGCGCAGGACATTTCCACACTGACGTAGACTCTCAAAAATAACAAAAGTGGACAATCTACTGCATCTAGACGAAGGATCTGGCTGGGCAATTTTCCCGAACTGGCCTGCCCCGCTTTTGTTATTCTCGAGAGTCTTTAATATCCTTGGAAAGATACGACGATGAGCTATGGGGAGGACTCCCTTGACAATGTGATCTGCTTCAACCTAGGCCCGAGAGAACTTAAGGCGGTCATACGCTTCTCAGTATCTTGCATGTCAGTTGTGAAGTAGACGAGGAAGTTCAAAGAGTCACAGCCATGTTTGGTTAGAGGGCAGACTTGAAGTGACCAGACATTATCGGCACACGTAAACGGCACAGGGCCAAACATATCATCTCATAGGTGACAAGTCCGTGGCTCTGCAGTAACGTACCACAACGCCTTTGGGTGGTTTTTATTGATACAAGGCGAAAGGTTCCTGGAAGCACCGACGGCTTGGCAACAAAGAAGAACCATCGACAAATTCGATCTCCGTTAGTTCTTTTAACTTAAGCCAATATGAGAAGCTCTCGCGCTTAAAAACTAGGGCAACGGACACCATGGCAAACTTGACGATGCTCACCTCCTGTTTCAAACTCTCTGCAATGAATATGAGATCCTTAACCTGATCATTCACCCAAGTCAGATGACAAACAAGCCGTCGTGACAAAGCAGTTGAAAAACTTTATGAAAGTAGGAAATCGCTACTAATAAAAACATGCTGCTACGCCCTGACTTCTATGGTACAACCAGTGAATGTTACTCCGCTGGCAAAGTTATAATTGAGCGAAAGAGAGTATCACCAAAACAAGAAATCAGGTCAATGATCCCACAAGTGTTTCATGCCAGTCCCTGAAAGCCACCCGTTCCTGAACGCCCGATGCTCGACCTTCTCCCAAGGCAAGCGCCCCACGTCTCCTTGGCATCTCGTCATTGTATGGAGCAGTTGGATAACTATTCCTTGTCGGCCGTCTTTTCTTCAGGCTTCTCATCGACATCCATCTTGTCTTCTGCTTCCGCTGGTTCAGGGACCTTCTCCTCGGGCTTGTCAGCAGCCTCGGCTTCCTTTTTCGTCGGCTCCTTCGCATCAGTTGAAGTTTCTTCCGTCACAGCAGGTTCCTTGACATCTGCTGACTCTTTCGGCTCCGAAGTTTCTGGCTCTTTGGTGGCCTCCTTCTCGGCCTCTTTGGCGGGTTCCTTAGCGGATTCAGTAGCATCAGAGGTTCCGGTGGCTTCATTGGCCTCGGTGGTTTCAGTCGCTTCGGTCGCTTCAGTCGTTTCAGTGGCTTCAGTCGTTTTGGTGGCTTCAGCAGGCTCAGCCTTCTCGGCAGGTTCGGCCTTCTCGGTAGCCTCTTCAGCAGCTGGCTCGGCTATGGGCTCGGCAGAGGGTTTCCGTGATACTGGCTTGTCCTCTTGATCTTGCTTCTCGGCAACCTCGGCAGGTTCTGCCTCAACTTCTTCCTTCTTGATTGTTGTCGTAGGCTCCTCAACATCAGCACTGTCTGCCATGCCAACATCACCATCACCGTCGACAGCGTCTTCCTGAGGAGGTTCCGGAGCAGAATCCTTTTCGACAACTGTTTCCTCGGCTATCTCCTCTGCATCAACTGGGTTCTCGAGGGTAATATCAGCATCGACAATGGGCTCGGCATTGGGCGCCTCTTCGGTAACCATTGCATCAGCTGGAGATGCAGCTCCGCTGTTGGCCTCGGGCTCGGCTTGGCGGTAGTCGCGGAACGTCCGCTTCTTAGCGTTACGGGGGCGGGTCATGCCATTCGCCTGGTCCATATCTTCGTCGTCACTGTCTTCGAAATCGGCCTCGTTGTTGGTGCGCTGCTCCCAGCGGCGTTGAGTCATGCGCTCGTCAGTGTGCTCATCCTCGTCCAAATCGTTCAGCTCAGCCTCTTCCTCATCTGTCATGCCGCCTGGGAGCGGTTGACGGGGGACATCTTGCATTTGCACAGATGGAACGGGCTGGGTGTGTCTCAAGTTATCGATAACGGCAGCTTTGATCTTCTCGAGGTATTCGAAGCTGTTCGAGTTCTCCATGTTTGATGGCCGGACGTTCAGTTCGAAATCGGGAGCGTAGTACTAAAGGAGGGTTAGCTAGGGTGTATAAATCGTACGGCAGGGAACTTACTTCGTAGTATTCGTTGTAAGGCAGCGTTCTGGGAAGGTGTTTGCCAACAAGGACACCAGTCTCGTATGCCCATGTGCGAGCGACGTTGCGCATAGTGTAACCACCGCCACCGAGGACAAGTGTGGGCAAGCCGAAGCTCTTGACGTATCCGACACAGTTGGCGTGTCCCTCCATACTAAGGTTGAAACAGCCGAGACGGTCACCAGAAAGACTGTCGCCACCACATTGTAGCACAACAGCCTCGGGCTGGTAGAATTTCATAACGTGCTCGATGACAGGCTCAAAGATGGACTTGTATGAATTATCGTCGATACCGTCGCGAAGGGGGAAATTGACGGCGTAGTATTTGCCGGTGCCGATACCGATGTCGCGCAGCTCACCAGTACCAGGGAAGTACTCGCCATACTTGTGGAAGGAAACGGTCATTACTCGGTCTGTAGTGTAAAAGGCTTCCTCAACACCATCGCCGTGATGGACATCGATATCAATATAGAGGACGCGCTTCTTGAATCGAAGGAGTTCGAGAATACCAAGAACAATGTCTAGAAATAGTTAGCCAAAGAGTAAAAAAGAAATGATGGCACATATCGCATTACCATTGACGTAGCAGAAACCACTAGCCTCGCTCTTCTTGGCGTGGTGGAGGCCACCAGCCCAGTTGACAGCGATGTCGCACTTTTGGCGGTTGAGACGGGCAGCGCCCTCCATACTGCCACCAGCACTGATGCCGCAAAACTCGAAAAGACCGTCAAATACAGGACAATCATCACCGACATTGTATTTGCCTTGTTCCTTTTGGTAGGCATCCATGTTGTCGGGGGTGACTTTTTGGAGGAAGTCGATGTACTCGTCGGTATGGAACTGGGTCATTTCGCCCCTAGTCGCAGGCTTCGCGCGCTGTAAATGGTAGGTTAGTAGCTATCGCACAGTGTTAAGCGGGTGAGCAACGAACATAAATCTCCATGTTCTTGAAAAGATCGTAGTGCATGATCAAACTATGCGCAAGACGAATGCGATGCGGCTTCATGGGGTGACCGGTAACGTAGGCATAATTGCCAATGTCAGAATCGTAGAAATAGGCGACCTTTTTTGGCGACGAAGAGCCATTGGCCAGAGCCACCGAACCGAGAGGTGACATGGCGTCGCGTCGTTGTGCGTTGTTCGTGGGTTGGAGTATATGCTTGTACGCGATGATTGAAATTTGGTGGTGGGAGGGAAGGATTGGGAAAAGGTGCGAAGGCTGCGCGTGGGTGTAGGAGCTCTGATCGGCTCGGCCCCAGATTTCCCAAGGCTGCGTTGACCATAAAAGTTAGGCCAATGAACTGGCTAGATGACAGGCCAGGGGCCAAGGCTGTCTAGCTGGAGGATTTCAACCAATCAAATGTTGTCATGGAGTGACGACAGGGTCGGCAGTACTGATATTCCGGTCAACAGTGTTGTTTGATTCGTCAGCAGCGGCTGGGTTGTACCAGTCATAAAAGTCCAATGAGAGTTGCCAGTGGAGACCAAGCAGGGTGCCCGCCGATGGAGGGGCGATACATCATCATCCAAGGCATGCGGCTTTCGACAATTGCCGATGGAAGATGACAGAAGCCGAAGAAATTGGTCGAGTGTTCGCAGGTTTGTAGATTCCGAGGATCAAGAATCCATCTTTGCCATTCTTGTGCCCTCCACCCATGATTGACAACTTGCAGCACAAGTTGGAACGGATAGGATCAAATTGGGAAAGCGGTGTAGTGTTTGAGTGGTGTCTGCATGCGGCATCGATGTGGCTTGACCTTACAGCCAAACCCCTCAAATTTCATGCCCTTGATGCGATTGATAATTTGCAAAAAGAAGTCACAAATATTATTGCAAGAGGATGAAGCTATCAGAACCTCATGTTGATTGAATTGCGACTATTTTTTAATTTCTGCCTGACTGAGGAACCAGTAAGTAGAAGACGCCACAGCCACACGTGACTGTTTGTCAGCTATCGTGGTACGTACCGTGCCGGGTTAGCTCCGCCTGGGCCTTTTTCGCCAGGCTGCTCAGAGCTGTCGTCAACAACTCACAAGCCAGCTGCTTCCTTTCGACTCCATCGCCTCAACCGCCTCCCCCCATTACCTCCACGACCGAACATCTCCCAACCCACGATCCCTCTGATTCGTATTTCAACCTCATTCTCTTTTAACCAGACATATCATCACAATGGAGCGCTTTCGCAACATGCTCCAGTCCCAGGGCCTGGGTGGCCTGGGTAGCCAGCCCGGAACGGTAAGAGCATCCCACCTTTTGCAGCTGCTCTGGCAGCTCCGACGACAGCATCATTCTCAACTTGGCGCTGACTCTTTCCTCTAGGATAACACACAGCTCATCGACAACTCCGAGACCGTTTACATCTCGTCGCTCGCCCTTCTCAAGATGCTGCGACACGGCCGTGCTGGTGTTCCCATGGAAGTCATGGGTCTGATGTTGGGAGAGTTCGTTGATGACTTCACGGTACGCGTGGTGGATGTTTTCGCCATGCCTCAGAGCGGTACCGGTGTGAGTGTAGAGGCTGTCGACCCTGTCTTCCAAATGAAGATGATGGACATGCTGAGACAAACTGGAAGGTGAGAATGGACGTCAACCATGCCCTTTCCTGCGTAGACTGACACGCGAATAATAGACCCGAAGCTGTCGTTGGCTGGTACCACTCCCATCCCGGTTTCGGCTGCTGGCTTTCGTCCGTCGATATCAACACGCAACAATCCTTCGAGCAGCTGACCCCCCGCGCCGTCGCCGTTGTCGTCGACCCCATCCAGTCAGTCAAGGGCAAGGTCGTCATTGACGCCTTCCGTCTTATCAACCCCCAGTCCCTCATGCTCGGCCAGGAGCCACGACAAAGCACAAGTAACTTGGGCCACCTCAACAAGCCCTCGATCCAGGCCCTCATTCACGGCCTGAACAGACACTACTACTCGATCGGCATCAACTACCGCAAGACGGCATTGGAAGAGAACATGCTGATGAACCTGCACAAGCACGTCTGGACAGAGGCGTTGGAGATGAACGACTTCAGAGCTGAGGCTGATTGTAACAAGGAGCGTCTCGAGCGCCTTGTCAGTCTCGCCGAGGGCTACGAGAAGCGTGTTAAGGAAGAGACAGAGCTTACCAAGGACCAGCTTAAGACGCGTTACGTTGGCAAGCTCGACCCCAAGAAGCACTTGGAGGATGTTGGCCAGCAGCTGATCGAGGACAACATTGTTTCCGTTTCGAGGCAGATGATCGACAAGGAGGCAACGATGCCCAAAAAGGACAGTCCGGCAGGTGCCAAGGGTCAATCAAACGGCGATTCTATGGACGTGGAGGAGGAGTTGTGAATGGGAAAGGGTCACATTTCGGGGTTGGTCCAACGGCGGGATACCAGGACTTTAACACTGTACGATTAGGCGTTTGGGTGGTTGGGAACGCAACGACTAGAGACCCCGCCAGGCATAAGATGATCATGTTCTCACATTGCAGGCCTTGCATGGAATGACGACAACCTTCTAGTGTTGAGAGCTGCTGGTTCTAGGAAAATCGAGAGACCTCCACGTGACGACCTGAAAACCATGGCTCTTTGTTTCCTCACATATAGGCATTGTGCTCCCTATCTTCTGCCTTCTGTGCTGGTTGACAGTGATGGAAAGAAACAAAGAGCAAGTAATGGAAGCCATTGTCCAAAGATAGTGACTCTGAGAGACACTGTCAGTAGGACAGCACACCTTCAGCCTCTTGGCATCTTGTTTAGCGCTTCCTCACACTTAAGAACCATGGTGAAGTCAGAGCTAAGAGCATTGTAGAAACAAAATTTCGGTAGAAAGCCCGAGAACGACCGACCTACCACATATGTTCAAAAGAAAGGAAACTTTCACTAGACTTGAGTCCCATCTGTTCCTTCTACGCTCTCAAATTTTCTTCCCACCCGTCTGACTTGTTATGGGAACATAACTATCAAACAGTAATGAACGAAAGCCCACACCAATATACCCTTTCAGAAACAGGCTGTGCTTCTGATGTCCCCGATGCTATGGGTCTACAATCGCCCTCTTCCTTACCACAGCCTCGCATGAGCCTAGCCACAGTCCACGAAATATTGTACCGCATCGGTCAAACCTTTTCTCACGTCCAATATGCCGTCTGCGGCACCGCAGCCATGATTGCCTATGGCTTCACCGACCGCCTCCCCGTATACGTCAGCATAATATGTCCAACCCATACCAAAGACGTCATCAAATCTTGGGCTGTGGCAGGCGGCATGTCTACCTATTCCTCAGAACCCGACGTGATTGGCGTCACGGTTGCTGGCGACGAGGTCTGGAAAATCTGGGTTAAGTACTTGGCAATGGACCAGAGCCACAGATTCGACAGACTAGAAACGGTCGGTATGGCATTCGGTGGGAACGATGTTACGACGCAAGTTCTGACCATGCCAGCTTTGTTGAACCAGATCGCCATGAGGTATATCGATGGGAGGGAATCGGAACCGTGGCGGTACAGAGAGAAATTAGCGGGAGACGCCGTGTGGTTATTGGAGCGCATCTGCGAGAGTCACATGCCGGAACAAAGTTTGATGGGTGCGAGGATTTCGAGTGTGAGAGACCCGGCATTCTGGCTTGTTTTTACAACAGCGCACCCGGAGACTGTGGAGATGTTTTACAATGCGGGATTGAGGGACGATGATGAAGAGTCCGTGGGTGATTGGGGATGGATAGAGGGTGAGGAAGATGTTCAGCCTCGCATTGAGTCATCAATGTCGTCCCATGCGCCGCTTCTTCAGCCAAAGGAGCAACGGGACACAGACAGTGACCGGACCCCGTCACGAGGGTCATCCCGGGCTCATGACAGGCATCATGCTAATGGCGGAAGTCGCTTCAGCAACTGTCTGAGGCGTCGGCCGAACTTGACGCGTGCAGAGGAAAGGCGGGTGCTGATGGACGGTAGGTCCCGTACGTTCCGGCGCAGGAGCTCCGGTGGCGGAAGGCGGTTATCGAAGGTGTTCTGTTTGAGTGGCACTTTCGATGAATTTCTTCGCACACGTCGTTAACAGGGACCTATAATAACAGGACAGAAGAAAATGTCACTGTTAGAAATTGATAAAGGTTGTTGTAGCAATGTCAACAAGGTTATGGTATTTCATGCTGCACCCAACTCTTTTACTGTTTTGCTTGAAGATGCCCCTAAAGTTCTGTGTGACCAACATAAAATCCAAGTAAAACAGCTTTACAAAGGAAATATTCATATTCCTTCTATATGCCATTGCGCCTGCCTTGGCCTACCCATCCTACAGGTCCCTTCGCCTGTCGCTGGTATCACAAATGAAACGTCCCCTCCCAAATCCTTTGCTCTTCCGTCTAGCGTGGGCTTTTTATATACCCGCCACCCTTGTAGTTAACCCATCTACCCATTATTCATTGTCTTCCGTACGATTGATGAGTGTATTGTTGTCCGTATGTTTGTTGAGGGTACGTCGGTTGCTCATAGGCTTGTTGGTCGTAAACCTGTTGCTGGCCATATGCTTGTTGTTGAGCATAAACCTGCTGTTGCTGCTGCTGCGTATACTCTTGTGGCTTTCTTCCCTCCCGCTGAATCTCCTGAATTTGCACACCTTCGACAGACCGCCCCTCCTCATCACGGCTCGGAAGCGGAGCAGACATGGCACCACGGCGCACTCCATTCGCCTTAAAGTAACGGAAATCGAGCCACGAGATGATGGTCGTGTGCCCCGCAATCATGCTCAAAAGGATACCAAAGACAACAACTACCCAGCCAAGCGTGCAGCTCGTTCCGATACAGGCTTGTTGCGTCTGCGACTGAATTCCCATGTACACCACCGCGGCCCAAAAGACGACTTCCATGGCGTTAAGGATCAAGTTGGCTTTCACGCTTGCCCAGCGTTTGAATGACGAAACGTGTTCGGTGAGGACTTGGTACAGGATGATTACAAGGGACTTCGCAGCCTATTCAACGGTTGAAGTTAGTGACTGCCAAGCTGGTGTAACCCTGGACATTGCCAGTCTTTTGAAGGAAATGACTTACCATGCCCAACGCCATCGTACCTGACCTTCCCCTAGGTCTGTTCGGCATGAATATGCGTGCTACGGAAAGACCAAGAGCCGCTGCGACCAGAACGAGCTGGACCATGTGAATGGGGAACTTTAGTTTGGGGGAGAATAGAGCCATCATTTTGAAGAGCTTCCGGAAGTTGAAACTGAAACTAAAGCCGTGGTGTAAATGGTTGTGGCTGGAAGCTTGATAGAGAAGTGAGGCTGGATGCTGATCGAATCTAGACTGTTGGTTTCTCTGTTTTTAAACTACAAATAGCGATGGGAGAATCATTATCTATATAGACAAGCCATCTGTTTCGCTTTCCACGTATTCCGTGATTTCACAGAAATTTGATACCGCATTTCTCATAAAGACCGAATTTCATGGGCCGCCTACACAGCCGCAGCTTGCGGTTGTAGAATGGACTTTCCTCGGTCTCGCTTTTAGAGTGAGCAAGCGGCTCACCTTGTTTTACTGCTTGGTGTTGAAAGGAGCCCGCTATTTTACAGTACGCGGTGCTCAGCCTCCCCCCCCAAAAAAAACAGCCACCTCGGTTTCGGTTTCCCACTGAATACACATAGCCCACACAATGCGCCAACAACTAAGCATATTAATATCCACCTAATAGAGTTATCCTTGCTCTTTTTCTCATTGCGGTTCTCTGAAAAATCTCCATGTCTTGCCACCTTGTCCGTCATCCCATATAACTGCCGTTGTCGCCAAGACCAGTTGACACGCATTTCTTTGGGTCTGGGCGCCCAATGGACCCTGAGCGATCTGGGTTTAGGGCCCATTATTCCGGGTTTTGACGGCGTTTTAGACGTTCATCTGTTAGCCTGACAGGCGCTGACGACGAAGTCAGCCTTTTGGCGATCTTTCCAGAAACCGAGTGCGCCTTGCCACGTTGTGGAGACGTGAAAGCGAAGTGCAGGGTGCTAGTGTAAGTTTAAGGCTCGAGCTCCTCTTGACAACCGCTTGAAGTTGAATTCTCGAGACTCCGGAAACCTTCTTTTACTTGGCCGGCATGCAATATCTTTCCTTCCTGCTGTTGCGAGATATTTAACCTTCCGGTCACTTTTAAACCAGGATTTTGAGACCTAGGAGACAGCCGCCATCCAGTTTGAGTTGGTTGATACTCTCGTTACTTTTTAGTCCGCTCGGTCGAAAATCTTAGCAATCACGACATTGTGATGAGAAATCAGCACATGCCAGCAGGGATGATTCCTCGTTTCTAACTACATCAAGAGAAATACTCATAGTGCTAGTGGACGAGGCCACCAATACAGACACGCACACAAACTGCCTTGTCGACACGAACAAATCGATAGACGAAGTTGGCCACCTCGAAGGGTCCTCGGAATATGGTCAGTTATGTCGAGTTTTTCTTAATGCAATGTTCCAAAATCTCTCTTTCTGATTAACGTCATAACTATTCTTGTCATGTACGGCTTTGAACTCGCGACAACGCAGCAACCTTCTTACCTTTCGCGAATTAGTCCCATAACTGGGTAAAATACTGAATTTTAGTGGGCCGTACAACAATAGGCATCTGTTCGAGATGTTCAAGGAACATTCGTACATAGTCTTTGTTTCGCTGTCATCTATCATTACTTCGTGAAGAGTCTTCTTCTTCATCTCTCGGGCTCCTGCTTTTCCGCGACGAAGCAGACTTTGGAAGACTCGGCCGTCCCATTGAATCCCAAACCACCGCTCCGAAATAACCGCCCTCGCTGTTTCGATTGCTCTTATCGATGTGTCCTCTAGGTGGCGGCTTGAGTGGTGTAGGCAATTCCGGTTCCCGATCTGCTCCTGGTATCGATAAAAATCCGACTCCGTCCTCCGTGTCAACTCTTGCCAGAGGCAAAGTCATCGCCGTATCATTCCTCAAAGCCGCACGGGCCCCTCGAGTCTCCTTCACATGCGTTTCTGGGGGTGTCGTGACCCCCAAGAACCTTCTTGCATATTCAATCACTGTCCTCGGATTCTCGGGATCCTCGATCCGCTCTTGCGCCCCGCCATATGATATTTTTGACCGTCTCTTCAGGGACATTACACCGCTAGTGAATCGATTTGACAACTCCGTATCTGCACTGTCGTCTATATTTCGCTGGGGATAGTTTCGCGTTTTCGACGAAGGGCTCTGGGCGCCGAGAAGTGGCCTGAGGGTAGGCACACAGACGCAAATGATGGCGCAGCTGAGTTCTGTAATTGACCATACTCCAGCTACGACAGAATTGTAGGTAGGGTCGGGCGAGGCCGCTGAGGTTTTGAGCGTAGTGATTCGGATTACGGATATTGCGCAGGTGCTGTTGACTGTAAGGCCGCATGCAACCAAGCGGATCGTTTGAGTGCAAGACACTTACAAGAATCCAAGCCCAAATATCGCCGTCAGCACGACCTTCTGTTTCATAACAAGAGGCAAGGTCTGTAGGAGCGGCAATGGCATGCAAAAGATGACAATGTCGGTAACGAGGTTGATCGAAGAGCCAATTAGCCACCAGTCGAGGAGCTTTATGCACCGGCCAGGAACTGTCGAGTCCCACAAACTTCGTAGAGGTATGCATGCAAGACATATAGATACGACTTGCGTAATTCCGAAGGTTATGATAAATAAGATGAATATGTTGCAGAGCTTCTGGAAAGGTGGCAAAGGGAATGCCCGTCGATACTGTAAGAGAAACGTGGACTTGATCAACGGGAATGCCTGGGAGGTCAGTTTTCACTATGCGAGCCAAAATAAGACATGGTTTGTACTTACAGCTTGATAGAGGGCGACAGCAGCAATTGCTATCTATACACCGGGTTAAACCTATTTGTAACAGCCAAGTGCGACAAGATTTCCATACCTCTTGCGTCTTCAAGTATTCCCATCGAGAAAGTCTGACTACGTGCAAGCCGTCTCCGTAATGTGTGTCTGCGAATAGTCAGCCAGGCCAGTACGATGTGTCGCTTCGTTGGTGATTTACTGATGAGCATTAATAAACCGGTAAGAAAGACAAGGACCTATATTCATTGTTAGCCGATGAGCGTCCCACCTTGATCTCTCCCGACACTTACAAATGAAACCACGAGAGCAGAATCATCCGGTCCCCATTTCCTTAATATGAATGCGCGAACGTATATTCTCAAAATCGTAAAAAATGTCGCCAGAGAGAGAACGGTGGTAGTAACCCCAATAACTACAGGTTGTCTTGTCTCGTTCACATTCACTGCGGGCTCTTCTGTACCCACCATCACCAGGTCTTCGTCCATGGCTGCCATTTCTTTCCCTCGCGCGAGGGAGCCACAGCTGCCGTGTAATCTACAGCTGTTGTAGGTCCTAAAAGCGGTTGCTAGAACCGGCCGCCATAACGGCCATTTCACTGACTTCGAACACTCACAATAATATGTAGTCGATCTTGTTCGTCGAACAACAAAGAGAGAGAGGCTGGGGTGGCTACGATTCAAACGGTCAGTCGGGCGATGAAAGAAGAAGCTGTTACAAAGAATGGGGGTACGCTCTGTACGCTACTTGACGTCGGCTTTGACCCCCTAACTACGGCAGTCCGCAGGGCGCACTGGGTCAAAATTCAAGGTAGTGATAGGAACACCCCATAAGCGTAAACATATGTAATCTCGCGTAAAACGATTTTTGTTTTTGTATATTTCTAGGTAGGCATTTGCCTTTTTAGGAAATAAGGGTTTACTATATAGAACTACAGCCCCCTACGAGGCTCTATAATAATCCGTCGGAGGTTAGATCTTCCGGTTCCGGTTGATTAGGTATATAGTCTATGCGCGCAAATCGATAAATAAATAGGAATTTAGTAAGGCCTAGAACTTCTTCCTTTTCCCTACGCTAAGCAGAGTTTAGGTATATAACCCCTACTATATAGAAATTTATAACGCTTTCTATACTGTTTTATAGAGATTTAGTTTTTATCCTTTATTATACTTCCGTTTTCTTTTATCTTCTCTATTTTTGATTTTTTTTTCCGATTTTTTGAGCTTTTGTTACGGTTAGCTATCCGACAGTAGGGTCTGCTAACAGAAGTTAGGGATTGACGCTAGTAAACAGTATTATCGTGTCGTAAGTCTGGTTCGTAGGTCGTAGGCTATGTCGTAGATCGGTAGTCAGAGGCTAAGGTGATTAATCTTAGGCTTAATAAGTATTCGTAGTAAAGGTAAGCTAAAAGTATCCTAAGGATAAATATAAAGTTAATTGCTAAAGAGCTATAGAAGTCTGACTATAAGTCGAGCTTAGGTTATACTATATACAAGTCCTAATAGTACCTTTTGTTTATTTTACTATTCCTAATCTTGACGGGGTTTGTTCTTTATTTATATAGATCCTGTATATGCTAAGGACGGACTCTATATTCTTAGCGTACGGATCTAATCTCTTATCTTATCGTTACGTAACTTATACTATAGTTCTTCCGTTTCTAAGTAAGTCCTTGTTATTCTTATAATTCTATAGTATAAATCTTGTTATAGCCGCCTAACGTCTAAGTAATTGTTTAGCTATTATCCTTATTTATAGGTCGTAATATTAAGTCTTTTCTCTAAAGGTCTTATCCTTAAGACCTAATATAAGTAGGTCGTTAGTCCTAGGTTAGGGATTGTTAATTATACTTCCGATTTACTTATAATGCTAATACTATGTTAGGTTATATTAAAAATCAAAATAATCTAAGTTAGTACTTCGTTCTGCTTATAAAGACGTTTTTTATCGCTTTAGTTCTGACGACGTTATGCTATATACTTACTACTTCTATATAAGCGTATATATTAGATAGCAGAAGGCGTAAAAACTTATTAAGGTTATAGAAACCTAAAGCGTCTTTATAATAGTCTCGTAATAGCGTCTAGTTATAAGTCTTTATAGCGTTATATGCTTATATATATACTAATTAGTCGTAGTAAAAAGGCTAAGCGATTAGCGTTAGGAGTAGGAAGAGAAGGAGGAGTAGGCTAGTAATATACTGCTAGATCTTTATAAAAAGTTAGCACGGGTTTAAGCCGAGGTAGCTAAAGCGGCTAGTCGATTATTACGGATCTGCGCGATTAGAAGAAAGTAAAGAGTAGTATATAAAGACGTTTTCTTAAAAGATATAAAAGTTAGAAGAGGATAACGTTCTTCTTATATTAGATGCTTATAAGAATAGTATAGTTAGTAATCTTTAGTTTTAAAGTATAGAGAATAATCCGGATTAAGTAAGTTTTAGTATTAGTAAGGAGTTTATAGATCTTAGCCTTTTATTAAGGGATTTATAATTAGTATCTTTAATAGTTTTTAGTTGCTTTCTAGTATTCCTAGGCGAATAAATAGTTTTCTTTATTATAGTGTATCTACTTCCGTTAGTAGTTATATATACTTATAAGGTTGCTTAATATAGTAACCAGTAGTATTTATTAAGGTTATTATTACTAGCGTTGCTAGCGTTATTCTCGTTCTTAGTATTATTACTAATAGGTTATAAGTTTATCTTTTATATTAGTAATGTTTTTAGCTAGTTCCTATATATTATCTTTATAACTATATCCTTTCTACTTAATAAAGTATTAGTATCTTTTAGTTTTTAAGGTAGTTAATAATTCGTTTAACTTTATACTTTAGTTATTATTTTCTATAATAATAAGGTTATTTATCTATAATCCTTATAGTATTAGTTTAAGTAGCGAAATATAGAATATTAGAAAATACTTTATTATGTTAGGTAGGTTAAGTTGTAATTAATTAGTAAAACTTTTCGGAGGATCTTAAAAGGTTTAAGTTTTTTAAAGTCTAGTTTGTTATTTAGTCGTTTTATTTTAATATTTTGCTATATAAGGTAGGCGCTATCTCTTTCTTTTAAGGTTAACGTCCCACACCCACTTCTGGGCACCCCCCACATTTGGGCACCCCATTTACACCAAAAACGCCGTTTTTCGAAATTCTATATTAAACTAAATACTTTACTTATTAAAGAGAATAAATATATGTTAAATAGATTAAGACTTAATTATAATACTTAAGTAGCTATATACTAGTATTATTAATAATAAGTATTATAAATTCAAGGTTTAATATTTATAATACTAATTTACCTAGCCTATATCTTAATATATAAAATAGGTAGAGATATTTAACTAATATGATTAGAATTTTTAAGTAAGATATAGTAGATTTATATATTCTTATACTTAGTAAAAAATTCTTTAAGCTTAGAATAATATTTTAAAATTTCCTTAAGAAAAGTTTCTATTATAGAATTTTAACCCTTAATTATACTATATTTACTAAAGTAGTACTTTTAAATCTCTTTTAGATATAATTATATACTTTTAATAAGTATAAATATTAATTTCCTAGATTTTTTAAATAAGTATATATGAGCGAAAATATATTTTTCTAATGTTAAGGAATACTAGTAAGTTACTAGTATCTACTAACATTTTAAAGCTTTTAGTTTTAAACTTCTATATTATAACTATTATTATATTTAAACCTTTATAAAAAATTAGATGGCTATAATTATACTTAACATAGTTTATATATATTTTCTTTTCTTAGTAAGTATAGTAGTTAGTTTAATATAGAATTTCGAAAAACGGCGTTTTTGGTGTAAATGGGGTGCCCAAATGTGGGGGGTGCCCAGAAGTGGGTGTGGGACGTTAG